GGCGGCGAGCGAAGTGTTCTGAGCCTGTCCTGATGTCTTCAGTGAAGGGGCCCTGGGACACACAAATAAATACACACAAATAAAAATGTTCCCTATATTTTCCCATATTTTCTGGGTTTTTGCCTTCCCCCCCACTTCCCATATTTTCCCATATTTTCCTGGGGATCGACGATTAATTGTGTCTGTGTGTTTCTTTCCCTCCTGAAGGACGGCGTCCCCGGAAGTCCAGGCCCTCTCCCTGATGCCAAGGTTGCGTCCCGGATCGTTTCCTGACGCTCCCGGGGCCCGGCGGGGCCGCAGACAGCAAAAAACGAACTCCCGCCCTGATTTGTTTCTGACGACGCGATCATGTAATTACCGGGAAAGCTTCTCAGAAGGCCGGCGGCCTTCTGAGAAGCCCCGCCGCCTTCTGTCGGGAGCGGCCAAGAGGGGGGTGTCCAAGAGGGGGGGGTGCAAATCATGACTGGCGGCATGTGCGCGGCCCAGCGGGGGGGCCAGGAACGTAATGAAATAAGAAGGGGCGCCATGAAATCTGGGGAAATATCATGGCCCCCGCCATGATATCCACCCCCCCCTAGTCATCACCCCCCTCTTTTCCGCCCCCGATTCTGAGAAGCCCCGCCGCCTTCTGAGAAGGCCTTCTCCTTGTCATTTCACCCCTTCGCCCACCGCCGCTCGCGGCGGCTCGAGGCCGTGGCGACGAGGAGCTCCCCCTGGAGGCCCCAAGATCCCAGGGATCCCCCTCGATCGAAGAGGATGCACCTCCGCCTCCGCCTCCTCCTCCTCCTCCGCCTCCTCCTCCTCCTCCGCCTCCTCCACCTCCTCCTCTCCTCCTCCTCCCCTCCTCTCTCTCTCCACCTCCACCTCCTCCTCCCTCCTCCTCCGCCTCCTCCTCCTCCTCCTCCGCCTCCTCCTCCCCCTCCTCCTCCTCCTCTTCCCCCTCCTCCTCCTGCCCAGAGATCCGAAGATATGATATGTTGAATCCGGCGGCTCTGCCTGGCCGTCCCGGCATTCCTATGGTCCTACCACGAAGTGTTCTTGAGCCCCGGAGGCGCCCGCAGTCAATCGGGCCCAGGGGTTAGGTCGGGCGCGTCCCCCTACAGGGGGATTTTGGGCGAAACATTAAACATACTCCAAACAAATACCCCCCAAATGCTCAAAAATAGTCAAAACATCGTCCCCAGACAATTTTTTGACTATTTGGGAAGATTCCCCCTGTCGAGGGGCAGACCCGACTTAAGCCCACGGGGACTCCGCAGAGGTGGTTCGTTCGTTCGTGCGCCGCCGGGCGGGCTTGCCGCGAGCGGGGCCAGCCTCTCAGGGGCAACGATCGGGGGGGATAGGCATATGGGGCGATGCAGCGACCCCCAGCCGACCCCGAAACGCCCATGGATCTGGGGCCGCGGATGGACCACATCAGCGAACGCCTGGGATAGCGGAAGAAGCCCGAAAGCCCAGACATCCGACATCTCGAGTCTCTCCACACGGGGCCCCAGGAAGTCTGCACCTTTCTCCTGGGACCGGCGGTTCGTCCCGAGCCGCCTCTGGACGGTCCCGTGTGAAGGGAAACTGGGACACACAAATAAATACACACAAATAAAAAGATTCCCCATATTTTCTTATATTTTCTGGGTTTTTGTCTTCCCCACCACTTCCCAAATTTTCCCATATTTTCTGGGAAATCGACGATTAATTGTGTCTGTGTGTTTTTTTCCCTCCTGACCGTGGCCCGGCGCGGCTCTCCAGAGGCCGAAGACTGCGGAAAAGCCTCCGCCTCGAGCTCCTCGCGACGATTGGAGGTCTGGGAAGGTCGATCTTCGAACCTCGCCGATGCTCGTCGATCCTACACCCTGCGAAATGCTTAAGAAATCATGGGTTAAGAAATTCATAGTCTCAGAAATGGAATAAAACCCAGAACTTCTATCAACATCTTGGGATTTACATTGGAAAGTTAAGAATAATCGAGACTCTGGACGAAAATTTAGGTTTTCTTAAGCATCGCCTAAGGTGTATAGGCCTCCTGGCTTTGAGCAGGGGCCGACCGTCCCGGCATTCCTACAGGCCTGCCGCGAAGTGTTCTCAGAATGAAAGAGTGATCTCAGAACAAGACGATGTTCTCCGACGAGAGAACCATTTATTGAAACAAGCAAGCCGAAACCAGAAATGTTCCAAAGTTCTTAGAACATTCTCTCGTGGGCCTGAAGGCAAGCCAGGACGCTCCGCTATTGCTCGATGCCTCAGATCCTTGGCGGAAGCCGGCGATCGAAACGAATCGGATCGGCGGAAATCGGCAGCCAAGTCAGAAGAAGTCGAATCGGCAGAAAATAGGCCTCCATGGAAAGATCTCGGAATCCATGTCGGATTCCGATGTCGAATCGAGTCGGAATCGGAAGCCATCGAGATCGGATCGAATCGAAACGGAGGAATCGAAACGATCGGCTGCACGTCAAGGGTGACCCTGGGCAAGAGTGACCTTTGGTGTGCGGCTGTTTGGGGGCCACGGGGGGGCCAACCACAAGCGCGCAAGACGCCACTCCAAGTCGGACCTAAGACAGAAGAACATCTCTCAAGAACATGACTAAAGGGAAATTAGGACACACAAATAAATACACACAAATAAAAATATCCCCCATATTTTCCCATATTTTCTGGGTTTTCGTCTTCCCCCCCACTTCCCATATTTTCCCATATTTCCCTGGGAAGTCGACGATTAATTGTGTCTGTGTGTTTTTTCCCCTCCTGAATGAGACCATGAAGGAGGAGGAGGAGGAGGAGGAGGTGGAGAAGGGGGAGGGGGGGGGAGGAGGAGGAGGAGGAGGAGGAGGAGGAGGAGGAGGGAGGGAGGAGTGAGGAGGAGGAGGAGGAGGAGGAGGAGCATGAGGGACCCCCCGCCGACCCCAGACTGGAGCCCTTCCAGGGTGCCCTCCATCAGGGATGCACCAGGACATCCCACAAGCACCAAGAAGCATCCTCCTCCTCCTCCTTACCCTCCTCCTCTCACTCCCGTCCCTCCTCCATCCTCCTCCCTCCGCCCTCCTCCTCTCCTCTCCCTCCTCTCCTCCTCCCTCCGACTCCTCCTCTCTTCCACTCCTCCCTCCTCCCTCCCTCCTCCCTCCTCCTCCTCCTCCTCCCTCCTCCCTCCTCCCTCCTCCCTCTCCTCCCTCTCCTCCCTCTCCTCCCTCCTCTACCGTCCCCGCACCAGCCTCGATCTTTTACACCTCGGTCGGGGTACCATATCCCCGAACCAGCCTCGGTCTTACACCTCGGCCCGACCCACATTGCAATTCGGCGATCGAGGGGCCTTAGGTGGGCCCGCACCAAAAGGTCGCTTCTACAGAAGGAAAAGGAGGAGGAGGAGGAGGAGGAGGAGGAGGAGGAGTATACACCTATACTAAACTCTTGGCGCTCCGCGCAGACTTCTTGGACCTGCGCTGGACCCCCCTCCCTGGCGCGCCCCGCCGCCGGGGGGCCCAGGCGAGGATCCGAGAAATCCGCGCGGAGCGCCAAAAAATTTAGGTTTATCGGGGATGGACAGACCCCCCTTTAGCAAAACGTGGTTTAGTGAAAACGACCTGAGGCCCAAACCTGGCGGGCGCAAGCCTGGAAAATTAGCGGCCACGGCGCCCTCAAACCGAAAACTGACAATTCACTAATCGACGTGTCACTGTTGGGGGTTCTGTCCACCCCCGATTCTTCTTCTTCTTCTTCTTCTTCGAACTCCGGCGACGGGTCACGCGGGGCGGCCGCTGCGCGGGGGCGGTAAAACAGGGCTAGGATCGGGATAAATCGCTCCAGAGCGTTCCGGAGCGCTCTCAGAGCGTGCCGGAACGCTCTGGAGCGGCCGCGGCGCCCAATACATCCTCCAAACCCGCCGATCCTCAGAGATTTCGAGTTGTCCCGATCCGAGTTTGTCCCGATCTTCGCGTCGTTTGAGGGGCGGCTGCTGCGCGGGGGCGGCCGCTTAGAGCCTGTTTTTCTTTGGATTCGGGCAAGTTTACTTGCATGGACGGGGGGGGGGGGTGAGTCTGAAGCAAGCCGAAAACAATTCGACGTGCGGAAACCACGCAAGTCGAAAGGCGCTTGCACGCTCGTGTTCGATTGAAGAGGGGCGGGGGGGGGGGGAGGGCGAACGCCATGCAAGTAAGCTTGCCTGGATATTCGCCGGCCCAACGGGCCAGAGGCGTGCTAAGATCTCCGGTAACTTGTTAACAATATTTCTAGTTCGCGCGCGCGGAGCGGCCCCTGGGGGCCCCCGGACGAAAAGTACCCCGGCAAGGTCCCGAGAGAAGCCCGGGAGAAGCCACCAGACCACTCCAGGGGAGGGTATTTTTCGACACCCCTCACGAGGATCGTGGCCTCCGAGGGGGGAGCCGCAATCGACTACCCCCAAGAGCCCCCCAAGAGGCCCTGGGGGCCTCCAAAACGCCGCCAAGGAGCCCCAAGAGACTCCCAAGAGGTCCCCAAGAGGCCCCCAAGAGGCCCTAAAGAGGGCTCCAGGGCCGGCGGCATGAGCGAAGCGATTCAATAATTGTGGACTCGCGCCCTCTGGGGGGTTGCGATCTGCGCAACTCTCGCCACTTTCGTGGGCTCCTGGGAGGCCCAGCGGAGTTGGGATACACGCGGACCACCTCGGGACCTCGCGGCGCCTTCTGGGGGGTTGCGATGTGCGCAACTGTCGCCACTTTCGTGGCGGGGCCGGCCCTCGAATTGGGCGCCCGAGTTATCCGGGGTAACTCGGGTCCGGGGTAACTCGGGTTCGGATTCCCGAAAAAACGAACCCGAGTTAGCCCTGACCCGAGTTACCCCTGATGATCGGGGCTCTGGACGCCCGAGTTATCCGGGGTAACTCGGGTCCGGGGTAACTCGGGTTCGGATTCCCGAAAAAACGAACCCGAGTTATCCCTGACCCGAGTTACCCCTGATGATTCGGGGCTCTGATCGAAGGCGGTCTTGAGGGGCGGCCGCTGCGCGGGGGCGGCCGCTTCCGCGGGCGCGGGCTCCTCCGGCTCTGGCTGGGCCACGGCGGCCCGGCGGCCCTGGCTCGGGGGGACCTCGCCGCGTCGAGCGGCAGGGCGGGAGGCGCACGAGGGGCCCCTCCTTCACGTCCTTCCTGGCCCTCCTCCTCCTCCTCCTCCTCCTCTCTCCTCCTCCTCCTCCTCCTCCTCCTCTCCTCCGCCTCCTCCTTCCTTCTCTGGCTCTCCCGCGGCGTTCTCGTCGTCCTCCTCCGCCCTCCTCCTCCTCCTCGTCATGTCCTCGTGGCCTCCTCCTCCTCCTCCTCCTCCTCTTCTCCTCCTCTTCCTCCTCCTCCTCCTTCTTCTCCTGCTCTTCTCGTCGTTTCTCGTCGTCGTCGTCGTTCCTCATCCTCCTCCTCCCCTCCTCCTTCACGTCCTCGTGGCCCTCCTCCCCTCCCTCTCCTCCTTCTCCTCCTCCTCTCCTCCTCATCCTCCTCCTCCCCTCCCCCCCTCCTCTCTCCTCCTCCTCCTCCTCCTCCTCCTCCTCCTCCTCCTCCTCCTCCTCCTCCTCCTCCCCCCCCCACACACACACACACACTCACACTCACACTCACACTCACACTCACACACACGCTGGAGGAGCTCCGCGCGGATTGCCAAGATCGGCGCTGGGTCAACCCTGGCGGCGACCCCAGCGCCGCCCCTGGCACGCTTCGTGCGCAGAGGAGGAGGCCCAGAGCCGTGCGATGTTCGTTTTCTGCGAGAGGGGAGCCCACGCTCGGCAGAATCTGACTACCTACCAGACCACCCCAACCCAACCCGAAGACCCGAATTTCGGGTTGGGGGGGGTAAGGGTTCCATACGTGTTTTTTCGATGTTTCCCGACCCCCCCCCCCACTGGAAATCGAGGGTAAATCTGAGCCTTCGGGTTGGGTTGGGGTGGTTTGGTAGGTGGTGAGAATCGGCACACACGAGAACTGGTGAGGGGCAATGCCTAAGTGGCAAGTGTTAGTTATCCGAAACGGGCAGCGGCCGCTCTTGGGCAGGCCCCACTCGGCCCAAGTGGACGTCCGCGGCGACACATGATCAGCAATGTAAGTATCCCTAACCCTTTGAGACGAGACGACGAGACGAGACGCGCGAGTCCGCCGGCCGGCGGGCCGGCAGGCCCCTTAGGGGCGGCGCGGGCGGGCCGGAGCCCGGTCATAGGCACATGAACTTCAAGAAGATGCTCTCGAGGTCCGCCCAGGATTTGACATGTGTAGCACTCAGTAACCATGTTGAGGGAACTTATGAAGGTCGGAAAGCCAGAACTATAGCGGAAATATCATCTCTTCGGCGGACGTATCGAACAACATCGCCTGATTATACTTATTATCGCTGATGCAAAGGCGGGACCTGAAGTGAGGCCACGTCTTCAGCGTGTCGTTAGGATTAGGGGCGCTTCTGCTCCCAGTGAACGCGGGCGGCGAGCCCTGTTGAGAGTGGGCAGGGACTGCTGTCGGCCTCCGGCCCCGCTCGTGCGCTCCCCTCTTCGGCCCGCCCCGAAGTCGAAGGGAGCTGCTGAAGGGGCCCCAGGACACACAAATAAATACACACATATAAAAAACATCCCCATATTTTCATGTATCTTCTGGGTTTCTGTCTTCCCCCCCACTTCCAATATTTCCACATATTTTCCTGGGAATCGAAAACTCATTGTGTCTGTGTTTTTTTGTTTCTCCTCCTGACCGAAGTCGAAGGGAGCTGCAGGCCCGAAGTCGAAGGCTGGGTAGTCGAAGCCAATCTGGCGCCAATCTGGCAGGCCCAACCTGGCAAACGGGGGCAATCTGGCGAGGGAGCCAACGCGAATCCAGTCTGGCGAAGAACCCAAATCCTCCAGTCTGGCCAGGCCAGATTGGCCCGTGGGGCCCAATCCAATCTGACAGTCTGGCCTTCGACTACCCAGATCGGGGATGGACAGACCCCCCTTTAGCAAAACGTGGTTTAGTGAAAACGACCTGAGGCCCAAATTTGGCGGGCGCAAGCCTTGAAAACAACGGCCACGGCGCCCTCTCGAGAACCGAAAACGGACAATTCACCAATCGACGTGTCACTGTTGGGGGTTCTGTCCACCCCCGAGATATGCTGGACATGAACGCGCACGTACCCTTGAGGAGCAACAGCAGGCGTAAACGGGGATTTCTCGGAACAGCGCTGGCCCCCCTGGAAGCGCCTCCGGCGCCGACCCCGGCGCCAGGAAGGGGGGCCGACGCCGATCCAAGAAAACCCACCCGGGCCTCCAAACGTTTATGCAGATGTTATTGTTTCGTGTCCGCTGCCCGTCAACTTTTCGCAAGACATTGACGCACATTGACCAGAGGATGGACCCAGGAAGGGAGCTGCACGCAGCAGCAGCAGCAGCAGCAGCAGCAGCAGCAGCGGCAGCAGCAGCGGCAGCGGCCGCCGCCGGGCAGGCGGCGCGCGGCCCCGAAAGGACACTCCGTGCCCATTTCGGGCGTCCAAATCCAATCAGGCGGCCCAGATTTCGTAATAAAAGGGAGGCGGTCTCCGTGCCCATTTCGGGCGTCCAAATCTGCATGCGTTGGGACTTTGGCGCGATCCAGTCGCCACTGGATTGGCGCCTCTGGCTGGTGGCGGGCGGCTCGGCTGCCCTGCCCTTGCCTTACGTCGGGCCTGTCCCTCTACAGGAGGAATATTCAAAAATAATAAAAACAGACTCCAGATTTCGTAATAAAAGGGAGGGGGTCTCAACCCTCCCATGACGAGGAGTTTTAGACCCCCCCCCGTGGGAGAACCCTCCAAAACATCGTCCCCAGACCCCCCCAGGCCCTCCAAGATAGCCTGGAAGAGACCCCCCCCCGAAATGAGACCCCCCTCCCTTTATGACGAAATCTGGAGTATTCCAGCTGCTGCCGATGGCCGCTCCTCTCCGGAGGGCTGGCTCCGCGCCGGGCTTGCTGCCCGCGCCGCCGCGGACGCTACTCCAGATTTCGTAAGAAAGGGAGGGGGGGTCTCATTTCGGGGGGGGGTCTCTTCCAGGCTATCTTGGAGGGCCTGGGGGGGTCTGGGGACGATGTTTTGGAGGGTTCTCCCAGGGCGGAGGTCTGAAATGGCTTGTCTTGGAGGGTCCAGACCCCCTCCCTTTTATTACGAAATCTGGAGTACCGGCGGGCCGCCGACCTGAGGAGCGCTGAGTGAGGAAGGGGGCCCCTTTGGGGCCCCCAGAGCCGTCGTCGTTCACGAGGAGCATCGAGCCCCCTCCGAACCGAAACCGCTCCTGCTTCAAGCACGAGACCCAGACATCCGACGTCCCGATTTTTTCGAGACGCGAGCCCCCAACCTCCCGACCACTTCCCCGGGACCGGTTTTTCATCCCGAGTCGTTTTTTGACGGTCCCGAGGCCCGGCGAAGGCCTCCAGAGGCCGAAAACGTTGAAAAACCTCTGTCTCGACTTTTTCGAGACGCCCGAGGTCTGGGGAGGGATGGGCCCACTCCTCCCCGCGCCATCCCCGCCCCTCCTCCTCCCCAGTGCCCCGAGCAAGGGGGGTCCGGACCGCCTGCGCTCCCCAGCCCCCGCGGTCTCGCTCGGTTGCCGGCCCTCCTCTGAGGGGCGGAGCCGAGTGTGAGGGGCAGCGATGCGGCAGGGTTCGTGCTAACAGGGGATATGTCGACCCCTATCCCAGGCTTCGTAGGGTTTCCGAATGGACCAGAAATTTGGGGCCTAACCCTGGGATATACGATGGGGGGGGGTCCATTCTCGATAGGGGTGCGTCCGAATAGCCCCCTTGGGGTGTATCCCAGGGTTTTCCCATTCTTCTGAGCGGCCAGACTTTTCGGGCGAAACTCGGGGATTGGGGGAGAAACATCGCCCGCGACGTGCGGCGTCGGCGCGCGCGCAGAGCTTGTCGGACACCGCGTCGATCGTGCAGCCTTGAATCGATCGCGGCCCCGATCGTTCATACTTGAATTCCGTCGGGTCCCGTGGCGTTTGAAGGGGAACTGGGACACACAAATAAATACACACAAATAAAAATATCCCCCATATTTTCTGGGTTTTTGTCTTCCCCCCCACTTCCCATATTTTCCCATATTTTCTGGGGAATCGAGGATTAATTGTGTCTGTGTGTTTTTTCCTCTCCTGAGCAGAGCTTGTCGGACACCGCGTCGATCGTGCAACCTTGAATCGATCGCGGCCCCGATCGTTCAAACTCGAATTCCGTCGGGTCCCGTGGCGCTGCCGTGCCCACCGGTAGTTCTCGGGTCGGGCGAAAGGGGGGGATAGCAAAGGGGGGGTTTGAGAATCAGCTCGCGTAGCTGATTTTCCCGGCGCCTCCCGGCGCCGGAGGCGGCTATGTATCGAGGAATGGGCCCCTCGGTGAGGCCGACACCAGCTGCATGCAGCAAATTTCGTAACCCCCCCTTTCCCAATCCCCCCCTTTCGCCCGGCCCGAAGTTCCGCGCCGCAGAGTTCGGCCTTGAACGCCTTCGCCGGCGTCGCCGGCGCGCCAACATCGCATGAGGCTACCGTACTTGGGCGGGGACTGGGTCAGGGGAGAAACATCGAGCTGGAATCGGCGATGGGTCGCCGCCAGATCTGCAATGGGTCCCCGATGGCGAAGCGGCACGCTCCTGGGCGGGGCGGGCAATCGGGCCCCTCACAATCGGGGATCAGTGGGCGGTTGGGGGTCGATGCATCCCCCCACCTGAGCCCATCCCCCCCTAACGTTGCTTTTGGTTTTCGGGTCATCATGGCCCAATCAGCGGCCGCTCGGGAAGTCTCGGGCACCCCAGGAAACCTCTCGGCGAGGCGCAGCGCTGCCCCCGATGCAGGCCAAATCCCATGGTGGAGGGGAAGAAAACGGTGACCACGACTAAGACTGAACGAGGAAACGCCGGTGACGATCTTGGTCACCGTTCCTTCGTGGATAATCATCACGAGTCGGCGGCGGCCAGCATGGACCATGACCAAAACCGGCGTCGTCCAGCGCCTCTCGCATCGTCGTGTGGCGCACGGTGGTCCAGGGCAGTAGGCTTAGGTCGGGATGTCCTTCTACGAGTGGATGTTGTAAGAAACATCGGAAACAGCCAAAGCATAATCAGGCAAAGTCAGAAGAGCACGAACGAACAAATCATCCTCCTACTATTGTTGCACCACTCTTGAGTGCTCCCCCTGTAGAGGCATATGCCCGACTTCGAACTGCATCGCCTATCAGAGAGGGCCAGCCGAGACACAGCGGCCCTCCCTGGCGCCCTTCGTCCTCTTTTGGGCGCCCGAGTTATCGGGGGTAACTCGGGTCCTGGGTAACTCGGGCTTGGATTCCCGAAACGCGAACCCGAGTTAGCCCTGACCCGAGTTACCCCTGATGATTTTGGGGCTCTGGACGCCCGAATTATCCCGGGTAACTCGGGTCCGGGGTAACTCGGGTTTGGAATCCCGAAAAGCGAACCCGAGTTAGCCCTGACCCGAGTTACCCCGGATGATTCGGGGCTCTGACTCTTCGGCCTGAGATGGGTCAACCCTGGCGGCGACCCCAGCACCGCCCCCGGCACGCTTCGTGCGCAGAGGAGGAGGCCCACCGCCGATCCCTCAGAGCCACGCGACGTTCGCTCGGCAGAATCGGCACACACGAAGGAGGAGGAGGAGGAGGAGGAGGAGGAGGAGGAGGAGGAGGAGGAGGAGGGGGGGGGGGAGGAGGAGAGAACTGGTGAGGGGCAATGCCCGAATGACAGATGTTAGCTATCAGAGAGGGCAGCCGAGACACAGCGGCCCCTCCCGGCGCCCTCCGTCCTCTCCTCCCTCTCCCTCCTCCCTCCTCCCTCCTCCCTCCTCCCTCTTTCCTCCCTCCTCTCCTCCCGCCTCCCTCCTCCTCCTCCCTCCTCCTCCTCCTCCTCCTCTCCTCCTCCCTCTCCCTCCTCCCTCCTCCCTCCTCCCTCCTCCCTCCTCCCTCCTCCCTCCTCCTGGAGGCGTCTCGTCGCCCCGGCCCGGCACTCTGCTCCCGTCGTTCAGCATGATGCTCTCGCTCCGGCGCGGGCCACTTGTCTGGATCCGAGTGCTTCCGCATCGGTACCGCCCCGCGCCTTTCCCGTCCTCCGCTCTCCCCTGGGCATCCTCCTCCTCCCCGTGCTGCTCCTCCTCGTCCTTCTCGTTCCTCCTGCTCCTGCTCCTGCTCCTGCTCCTGCTCCTGCTCCTGCTCCTGCTCCTGCTCCTGCTCCTCCTCCTCCTCCTCCTCCTCCTCCTCCTCCTCCTCCTCTTCCTCCTGCTCATCCGCCACCTCCTCTTCCAATGTACGCAGCTTCCCTCTTGTGAGTGCGCATGACACAATGGGGTCCGGGGTTCCAAGTCCACTGTGGCTGTGATGCCAGCCAGTGGATAGCAAAGAGCAGCGCAACGGGAAGGGATTGGCGGGAGGGGTAGGATGTCAGATATGGCGCGAGCGCACTTGTTTGACCTTCCCCTTCTCCCGTCCCCGCCTCGCCACCCCTTATTCGATCCCTGTCCCGCCCTCCACCCTCTCCCTCCCACGCTCCCCCCTCTCCAGCCCGGGCTCAGATCGCCTCCGCCGGAGGTCGCGAGCCCAAGCCAGGAGGCCCCCCGCCTCTGCCCTACCCCTCTTCGCCCCCTTCCCCTTCCACTCAGCCCGCGCCATGTCCGTGCCTCCCTGGCGGGCGGCCCCGCGCCCACGGCGTGCGGCACCGGAGCGACGTGCCCAACGCCTGCGGGCCGAAGGCCGAGCCGTGCAGGTGCTCCTTCGCTGCTTCGACGAGCTCGGGCGGCATCGTGGAGGTTGTCCCTCCCGGCTGGGGGCGGCGCTGGCCACAGCCCTTCGTCCACCGCGGGCGGAGCCAGCCAGCGTCCGGAGTTCTGGTCAGCTTCAGGCGCTCCAACAAGTTTTTGCCCAGCCAACCGCAGGAGTTCCAGCCTCAGGAGTACCAGCAGCGGAAGTACACGCAGGAGGGGTACCAGCAGCAGGTGTACAGCCAGACCGGTCCCCTGCCGCCGCTGGAGTATCTGCAGCTGGCGTACCAACAGGCGGAGTTCTTGCAGCAGAAGTGCAGCCAGTCCGATCCCCTGCAGCTGCAGAAGTTCCAGAAGCAGGAGTTCCAGCTGGAGGAGTTTCAGTCCGGTCCCCTGCCGCTGCAGGAGTACCAGCAGCGGGTGTACCAGCAGGCGGAGTTCTTGCAGCAAAGGTGCAGCCTATCCGGTCCCCTGCAGCCGCAGGAGTACCAGCAGCAGGAGCACCAGCAGATGTACCAGCCTGGCCCCCTGCCGCCGCAGGAGTACACGCAGCAGGAGTTCAGCCAGCCGCAGGAGCTCCACTTCAAGCTGTAGCGCCCTCTTTTTTGCCCCACAGCCCTGCTGTGGCTCCAGGCCACACACACTTCAGAGATGGCCAGTCTTTTGGGCTTTTTCGGCCCGTCGTAGCGGCCGCCCGGCAGGCGCCGCCTCTTGACGCAGTCACGGTCGCGCGGCAGCGCGGCTACAGTCCCGCGCTGCGCAACCTCGCCAACCGGCCTGAAGCAGCAGGCCACAGCGCACAAGTGCTTGCAGCGGTGCTCCTCGAGACTCGAGGCCTCGTGCACCCTGCCAGGGCACTGCTTGCTCGAGGCGGCCCTGGAGACTGACGCTTCGCTCTTTTTGAGGGGGGGGCCATGTCTGGGGTGTTCATGCGCAGCCTACTCCGAGCCGCTTGTTCACCTGACAAAAAATGATTGGCCCCCCTCCACCTAGCAGCCGGCCTTTTTCAGGCTGCTGGACGGGTTCGTCTGGTCCCTGGGCGTACCCTCGACCCCGTTCAACGGGGTGGGCGGGCGTGAGGGACCCGATGTGCTCGTCCTCTCTCTCTCCTCCTCTCATGGCCTCCGTTTGTCCGGTCCCTCCTCCCAGGCAGTGCTTGCGATGTTGCACTTTTTCTCACGTACGCTGTCATTGCTTCACATTGCTATTGTTCATCCCTCGTTTCACCTTACAATTGCCCGGTTCACAATACAGCCACCTGGGACACCCACCGAGGTGCACGCCAGCTGCTCACCCCCGCGTCAGCAGCGGCCTCAGAGTCCCGCTCGTTTTCCCAGGCAATCTTACCTCGCGCTTGTACTTTGGGATGCTTCTTCAGGCAGTGCATGCAGACATCGACGTGCGATGCAATAGTGGCGCACTCTGGGCAGCGACCGTGCTCTCCTCAAAGACGGGCCTGCCCCCTAAGGGGGCGGATCGCACGGGAGAGTACGGCACGAACGTACGGCCAGCAGTTTCTTCCCTCAACGCGCACGTAGTTTTTCCGCCATCAGTCACACAGGGCAAGGCTTGCAGCTCTCATCTCAAGAGCTCCGCGGTATCTTCAGTGGACCCCCCTCCATCCTCCTCTTTGTCATCCTCCCTCCTCCCTCCTCCTCCCTCCCCCAGCGCGCTGCTCAGCAGCAACAAGGCGGTTCGACCGCCCACGGCCATTTTGGCCCTCCGTCCAGCTCCTCCTCTCTCCTCACGGTCTACTTAATTTGGGTAGGCATTCCCAGGCCAGATACTTCTTTTCTAGCCCTGCACTGCTCTCTGCCTCGAGGGCTGCCCTGCTATGGGCAACGAAGCAGGGCCCCGCTGATGTCTCTCTTCGCACGGCGCTGCAAACTCCTCCTCTCTCGTATACGATTCCTCTCTTCCCCTCCCGCAGCGCCAATACCTCTCTCCCGACAGTTTTCGGGACGAGAGCGGAAGCAGCTCAGCGTCCATGCTCTCGGGCTTCTCGTGCGCAGCCTGTGCCAGTCCTGTTGGCCGCTGCGCTCAAGCTAACTTGCAACGAGCTTAGTATAGTCAAAAGTCCCCCCTCTCCCGCCCTCCACCCTCTCCCTCCCACGCTCCCCCCTCTCCCGCCCTCCCCCCTCTCCCGTCCTCCACCCCCTCCCCCCCTGCCCTCCACCCTCTCCCGCCCCCGCCCCGCCACACCTGCTTCGATCCCCCCCCCTCCCGCCCCTGGCTCCCCCCGCCCCGTCTGCCCCATGGCCGACGGCCCCCCCCCCCCAGGCTCCCACCACGGTCCACGGGGTCATGCTGTCCAGCCTCTCCGACATGGCCTCCATCTCCTGGGCTCGCAGGCCCGCGGCAGGGCAGGGCAGAGGAGAGGCGGGCCCCCGCCCTTCCCCGGCCGCTGCCCGGCCTGCGGCGTCGGCTCCCAGGGTCGCCCTCCTCCTCCGCTCTCCGCGGAAGCTCCGGGACTCCGCCGTGCAGGACGCTTCGGCCTGGGAGGCCTGGACCCAGACATGCGACGTCCTGATTTTTTCAGGACGGCGTCCCCGCAAGTCCCGACCCTTTCCCCGGGACCGGTTTTTTGTCCTGAGTCGTTTTTTGACGGTCCCGAGGCCCGGCGAGGACCTCTAGAGGGCGAAAATATCCAAAAACCGCCCGTCCTGATTTTTTTACGACGCCATCATGTCTGGGGACAGGACTGGGACTGCCACCTCCGTGCATCAAGCCCGGGACTGCCCACTCGAGATTCGAGCCTGGACCGGCCCGAGCAGGGCGCTTCGGCCTGGGAGGCCGCGCCGAGGTCGCCCGGCCGGTCGAGGCGCGGCACGGAGCAGCCCTCCCCCCGCAGCGCGCGGGGCCGAGGCCTCGGGACGCTGCCCTTCTGTCGGGCGTGTCCCCCTACAGGGGGATTTCCGATGGAAAATAGAGACTACCCCAAAAATACACCCCAAAGGTTGAAAAATACGCCCCAAATAGTTCCGCACTATTTTTGGATTATGTATATATATATATATATATATATATATATATATGTATATATGTAATATATACATATGTATATACATTATATATATATTAATATATATATATATATATATATATATATATATATATTTATATATGCTGGGGTATGTTTTATGTTTCGTCGAAAATCCCCCTGTAGGGGGACAGGCCCGACTTAACGCTGCCCCGAGCTCACGGAGGAGCCCACGGCACGGCGGGCCCCCGCGGCAGGAGCGGGGGCCCCCCCGTGGGGCGGGCGGCGGGGCCCTGTGGGTGGCGCCCGCCGCGGTCCTCGCGGCTCGAGGCTCGCCCGCGCGGGCCCCGGCGAAACTGGGAGTCCAAAGGGGGGGGCGGCCGCAGAGGACGAGGACGGAGAGGCAGTCGGGGGGGGGGGGAGGCAGCCGGGGGGCAGTCGCAGAGGACGAGGGCGGAGAGGCAGTCGGGGGGGGAGGCAGCCGGGGGGCAGTCGGGAGGCCACGGGGAGGCAGTCGGGGGGGGGGGGGGGCGTCGCAGAGGACAAGGACGGAGAGGCAGACGGGGCAGCAGGCGGCAGCTCCTGGAGGCAGCCTCAGCGAAGGCAGGCGAGGTCTGGCGTGCCCAGGCGTGCCTCCTGCTGCGCTGCGAGGTGGGCGGGGCGGGAGCACGCCTCCGCACAAAGAGTGCCCAAGGACTGCTGCCGGGCCAACGGCCAACGCATCGGCTCGTCGAGTCCCGTCCGCACGGCGCCTGCCCCCGCGCTGCCTCGACGCGGCAGCCCTGCAGGGCCGGGCCTGCCACGCGCCAGTCAACCGAGGGGCGAAGAGCTGGGGAACCCACAGAGGACGTACGCGCCCAATCACGTGCGCGAACACGGCCCCCCAGTCCGCGAGACCAGCCGCGTGACCCTGTCAGCAGGCATCGGGGGCAGAGAGGGCCGAAAGGCCTAGAGGGAACACTTTTCTCAACCAAGTGTGTGAGATCGCACGAACATTCAGTCCTCTGGCGCGAGAGCGCCCCAAAGCCAAATTGGCTGCGTAACCACTGTCGGTCACAAAGAGGAAAGGGGAGGAGAGGAAAATGAGAACAGCGGGACCACTTTCAGTGGGACCGACAGGAGCCCCGAAACATCACCGATCCCCCGAGACACCCCGGATACCTCGCAATAAACCGGATCCTCAAGAGACCTCTCCTCACTCTCACGAGCCAGCTCCTTCCTCGAAGCCGTCCTCGATCGGCACTTCAGGGAGTTGTTGAGAGCCCGTTCTGACAAGTGACCGTCTTCATCGATAAGGCGCAGGGTACCTCGGCAGAGGAGGTCGGACAGCGCAAGATTTCCTCGGCCGGGGTCCGCCTTCGTGAGTGCATCTGCCGCCATTCGGCCATGAGGGACCCACCTGATCTGAGAACCTACGGCACACATCGCATCTCTCACCACAGCAAGTTCGATCGACGTGCGACGATCTTGTTTCGAGCCAGCACTGTTCTTACTGAGAGTATCAAACACACACTTGGCGTCTACAACTGACAGAGAGGAGACATCATGAGCAAGAGTGCACTGAGAGCTCAAGACGACAGAAAAAGGTGCCGACGCGAGATGCCAGTCGGGCCGATTCACATCGGCAAAGACAAGATCCCTCCACATCACCTGGAGCCACTGCGCTTCTGCGAGCGCGGCATACAAACAAAGAGTCTCGGCGGCGCTGGTGGACGACACGACTCTCTTCAGACGGGTCGACCTCCAGGCCAAGAGCGAGGCTCTAGCACGGCGATTCCGACGAATCTCCGAGTCCGCCGCGACGACGAGGAACGCTCCCTGGGCCCCGTTCCGACGAGCCGAACCCGGACCACCAGCATCTGAGATGGTGACAAACGTCAGAGACACCGGGTCCAGGGGCCACACCACGATATGCTGCGAAGCGGTAGCCTTCAGATGTCTCACGATCTTAAGGCAAACCAGGGCATCTTCCACGGTGGGGGTTGGAATGGCGGCCGACTGCAACGAGGCTCCTCCGGACACATCCGGTCTGGTTTCCCGAGCAAGCCATTGGATTTGCGCCACCATGGTGCGATATCCCCTCACTTCTTCGGGGGTCAAAAGGGGGGAGGGTTCCGCGCGCCTGTGTTTCTCGAGCCTCATAGGCGCGAGCTGCTCAAGCACGTATTTCTCCTGGTCGACCAGGATCTTTCCCCCCGAGACCAGTTTCAGATGGCGCCCAGCGAAATCAGATTCCCCAATTTTCCACTTCCCGAAATTCAACCGAGACTGAAGGCGAGACCTGAGCCCGTCCTTCTCCTCTGGATGGGCAGCTATAATGAGGTCATCGACCTCAATGAGACAAATCGCTCTGGGGGCCCCCGTACTGGAACGCTTAACCCACAGACAAGGTTCAAGCAACGATTTTTGAAAGCCGTCAGCGACAAGGTAATCTGCAAGGGTCCTATGCCACAATAACGGGGCATCGTTCAGACCGTACACGGGCGCAACGAGCTCGATCAGCTCACCAGGAGCCAAATTCAGACCTTGGCATGGCTCGCAAAAGATCGCGCCTCTAGGGCGCCTAAGGCGATCTGATTGGCAGAAAGCGTTCTTGGCGTCAGCCACCTCAAGTGTCCAGTTGAGGGAGGAGATCGCCTGGAGGGTCAACATCAGACTCTCTGCCTGTGGGGTCGGGGCGTAGACCTGAAGCTCCCCCCCATCTGGGTCGTGATGACCCTGCACACACCACCTAGACTTGGCCTCTGGAGGCGCCCCTAAGCCCTCCTGGGGCTTGAACCTGCGAACCATCCTGGATCCCAGAACCCGGTCGGGGCATCGGCGGCGAATCAGCTGAGCCTCGGCAGACGGGACAACCCGCGCAGCTCCTGACTGGACGATCGCCTGCCATTCCTTTAAATCGGAAAAGTCGAATAGGCGTCTCTCCTCCAAGGTCAAATTCTTCAAAGAGACCTCCGCGCCTCTGCGAGCCGGAGGTGCGCCACTCGCGCACTTGGAAGGGAGGGAAGCAAAACTAAATGACGCTTCCCAGAAATCCGACTTCCAACCGCACCAGCTGCACAACTCATTCCAGAGGTCGTCGTCCTGAGGATCCTCCCGATCGGCGTACCCAGCAAACCAGCTGGCATCATCTGGGCCCCTAGAGGCCTCGCCTGGTTCTTGGACCGGCGGCTCGGATCGGACCGGGGACCTGGACCTGACAGTCGGTCTGGGAGCGAGAGGAGCGGAACCGGCGGGCGACGGTCGAGAAGCCCGGTCCCGGAGGATGCACAGCGGAACATCATTGCCCAAAACTCCGCCCGATCTCCGATCGAACTCCTGCACGGCTCGCTGAACGCGTCCTGGACCGCTCGCCTCCTCGACTGGAGTGAGCCTTGGTCTCTGCCGGGGGGGGGGAACCACCTCCGCGGGGTCCGTGGGTGGAGGAATGGAGGGCGAGGGCAAGGCAGGAACGACAGGAGGGGGAGAGGCAGGAAAAGGAGCAAGAGACCTCGGGAGCGGTGGGGCATCGAGGGCTTGCCTCAACGCCTCGGGAAGGGGGCCCCACCTAGTAGTTTCGGGAGGCGGAGTCGTTCCAGTCGAGGAGGGCGGCTGGCGGCTACTATGTGAAACGGTGGCAGTTCGCCCTCCCGCGGTCGTACCTTGATTGACCGAGGCGGAGGGGGGTGCCACAGCCGCAGGCTCGACCGGCGGCGCCGGCAAAACTGGTCGCTCGACTTGGGCGACCCGAGGGGCAAACGCTTCTCGATCCGGCTCCCTGGCGTCCCAGGCCTCAGGGGGCGGAGGTCCTTCAGCCTCGACGTCGACGGCCCCGACACGACCAGATGGGTTCTGGAGCTCCGATCTGAGACCGGCCAAGGCCTGGGAGTCAAGAAGCTCAGCTCCCTGGACTTCGTCACGAGCTGCCTCTCGGACCTGTTCTGACGAACATTTAAGCAGTCGGGTGCGCATCGCCACCCACGCGGTAGTGCCCTGTTGGAAAACCACGGCCCCGGGACCGGTCCAGCGGGCCCGAGAGCCCTCTCTCTGCTTGCCTCCGTGCGGCTTTCTACACGCATACACCCGCGTACCAGGTCGAAAGGCAATATCGGCGCGACGCCTGGCCCGAGCGGCATACTTCAAACGTTCCGTGACATCCAGAGACATCACCGCGCGACGTGCCTCCTCACGCAGGAAATGCTTTCGAGCGAAAGTCGAGGCCGGACTCTCAGAGTCCCGTGTGCCGAGCACTAAATCCTGAACCCCGACTTCGTCCACGGCATCGTCTGAGAGAAGATGCTGAGGCATGCGGGGGTCCTCTCCAAACACCATCTGAAACGGCGAATACCCCCCACGATTGCTGAAACGGTTCTTCGCCGAGACAACCTCACAAATCAGGTCCCCCAGCTCCTCGCGGCCCTTAATCGAGGTCGCCTTCATGGCCTTAAACAAAGCGGTCTTGACAAGTCCCCCGTGCCGCTCGCACCTTCCGTTTTGGCGCGGGCTCTCGGCATCGCAGACATGATGATACACCCCCAGATTCTCGAGAGCACGCTGGAAGATGGCCTCAAATTCGGGACCCCCATCGGACATGAGTATCTCCGGCACCCCCATTGGCCGCACCCAGGCCCGAACGAAGCCCGACCGCACCTGTTGAGCCGTAGCATTTTTCAAGACCGTGCAGCATTGATAGTTAGACCCGTGATCTATCATATTCAGCGCCGGGATATTCTCTCCGAAAGCCTGGATGTAAAAGAGGTCCACCGCCATAAGCTTGTTGAAACGATCCGTCCGAGGAAGCTGGGCTCGACGTCTCCAGCGCGGGCGGGCCTCCCCATCGCACTGAGGGCATCGGAAAGACTTCGCCACCCACCTGACGATGTCGTCTCGTATCTCAGCAACTTTAAGGGACCGGACAAACTCTTCATGCCTGGGATGACCCAAGTTAGCGCGCAGTTTATGCACTTCGTTTTGAGTCTCTCGGTCGAGCCTCGGCTCGGAAAGACCCCCCGTTTCCGGCGGAACCCTGGGCCCTGGATCACCCCCTGGAGGCGGATCCTCTGGACCTGGAGGGGAGGGGGAGGAATCCTCTTCCTCGTCGGTGTCTGGGTCTACCTGTTGAGCTCCCTCCTCAGACATCCTGGCGGGATAGGACGGATCGTCCTCTGGCGGCTGGCAAAAAAGAACGCGCGCGGCGGTCAGCCCCACCCCCTTGCAGAGCGCGGCCACGAGCTCACGGGGGCACTGCTGCGACGCCCTCGTCCTGGCCCCCCCCGCCAAGTGCAGGTGCTCATGATCTCCGGGGCACTTGCGAGAGCAGGCGCGCAGGAGATCGTGACTGTTGGACAACAGCCTAGTGGGTTTCTTGGAGACGGTCCCTGGGGACACCGAAAGCCCGAAAGCACACAGACCCATGTCCACGTAACGAACCCCCTCAAGAGCCGCGAGCTTCTGGATGCTCACCAACTGCCAGCTACTGGCGGTCAAAGGATGCTCGAGCAGGAAGAAACGCCTCTTCTGATGCTGGTATGACGCGACCTGAGCACAGACAGAAATGAAAAGCAGAGCCTCTTGCTCGGCCCGGGCCCTCTTAGCCGGATCCATCTGGTCCGCCGTCGCCCTGGAAATACTAAACACCGTGCAGGGGGGGGGGGGGGGCAACAGGATCGTGAGAGGGTTCTCAGTGTCCAGAAGCTTCCAGAGACGTCTTCGGTCCTCGACCTTGCGGAAATCCCACCCCGTCCTAAGATCGAGGGAGGGGGGAGTGGGGGAACCCAGACGCCTGAGCTCGGGCTCGACCCTCGGAGCAGAGAAGAGCTCGAGACATATCGTAGCCCCCAAACTCTTCAGGGCTTTATGAACGTCCTTTCGGGCACGTCTCTGAACTTTCCTAATCCCCGCCCCTTCCAAGACCTGCAGAGCCCGCTGACGGACCCCCCTCGGAACTGTAGGCGAAACAGAAGTGTCCTGTTCGAAGTCCGCGAAGCGGTCCGCGAAACACCAGGTCGAACTCGCAGCTCTCGAAGCCTCCTGAAGCTCTCCCGTGATCTCGGACTCCGCCTGCCCCCAGAAAACTGGATGTCTAGGGTCGAGGCCGACTGGGGCCCCGGCAGTCTCGGTCCAGAGCTCGATGTCCAGGGAACTGGCGGGGAGACCATCTAAGGCCTCGGCGACAGCCGTGAAGGACAACAAGACGCAGAGCTCGTCCAGCACGACCGTCCCTGACTCTGAGTCGAGGACCCGGAGCCTTCGAACCCCATCGGGCGGGTCTCCGAAATTCCGGCCTCCTGACCGCCCCATAGCCAGCTGTGCGGCCCAGACCACTTTTTCTTGGTCCGAAAGACGCCTGGGAACCCAAGAGAGCAAAGAGGAGACCTCATCTTGACTGACCCTCTTACCGGTCTCCAGGTCCCAGACCCCTGACGCGAAACGAGGAACTCGGTTTCTGACCGGGCGGGCGAGGTCTCTCGCCGCGGTCTTGAAGCTTTTGACAACCCAGCTGCCGTGAGATCCTGGGTCGGGAAGGGCGTCAAGGATCTCAGCCTGGGCTGGGATCTTTCTGCTCAGGAAGGAAAGGGATGAGGCAGAGGAGGGAGGGCGGGAAGGAGTGACATGGGCAGGGCTTCCTTTTTCCTCAGGACATTTGGCTTCAAGCCTTGCAGATCGACCCGAGAGGTCGGCAGGGCCGGAAGCATCCGGCTCAAAAAGGGCTGTCGTCTGATCAGTTGGGGCAAGTAGGCCTCCTGCTGCAACTGCCTCCGTGCATGCGTCACTCCAGGCTGCGCCTAGCTCTCCTCGTCCTCCTAAGGCGCGGCCACCGGGCGCAGAGCTCCGAGCCCCTTCATCACGCTGATCAGCAGGTCCATCTGCTGCTGGCGCTCCTTGCGGTCCTCCACCATCATCCACTGCATCGTCTCGAAGCCCTTCTCGATGTTGCTGAGGTTGCCGCTGTTGCTGCTCGCCGCACCGCTGCCGCTTGCCGCGCTGCTGATCGCCCTCGACTTCGCGACAGGCAAGGACTTCCTCGCCGTCGGCGGTGGCGGCTTGACCGGCACCCCGTCGCAGAACTCGACGTACTTCGACGGAGCCTTGTACCTCGGCGGAGGCTCGACCTTGATCTCCGCCGGCGGCTCCTCCTTCTCGACCTTCATCTTGGACTCGCGCTTGGCCACCACCTTGCGCTTGGTCTCCTCGATCTCCTCCTTCGCCTTCCTCGCGAAGCTGAGCCGGGTGTCGCAGATCCGGCACTTCGAGTAGTGCCCGTGCCCGTTTCCGCCGCCCCACCTCGCCTCCATCGGATGGGAGCAGCTCGCCTTCGCTTCCTCCTCCTCGCTCTTCACCTTGGACATGCGAGGGGCTACGATCGCCGACAGACAAAAAAAATCGCGCACACCCTGAGGTACAGCATCATTTTGATCGACCACCTCCTCCAGGTGCGCGCAGCTGGGCTGAGCAGGAAGGCACCCTCGAAGAACAGCTCCTTCTCCACCGCCGTCATGCTCTCCTCCTCGTAGGTGATTGAGCTCAGCACGCCGTCGATCCAAGGATCTGGAGTCTGGTCCCAGTTCATCTCGAGCTCCGAGTCGGGGTCCTCCTCCGTGTTCTCGGGAATGACCTCCAGGTCCTCGTCGGGCAGGAAGTCGTCGCGCTGGGCCTTCAGCGCCTGGTGCCTCAAGCTCCGTAGCGAGCGGGCGATCCGGCTCTTGATGATCCTGATCTTGTCGGATGGCATCGCTCTGGTGCTGTCCTAGTGGTACCGCTGGTTGGTCTCGCTGGTCCGGCTGCTCGCTGCCATCGCTTGAGCCGGGATGTGCTACGGAGGATCGGCTAGTCCCGAGACCCGAAAACTGTCTGGTCCCGGTACCCGGCTGCACTGAATCGAGGCCTAGAGAGAAGGGGAAAGAGGAATATCTACCGCACGTGCCCTGCTGCGGCCCTTCCCCTAAGTCCTGGTCCGAGCACTCGATCGGGAACTCGGCGCACCCGATCCAGCGGCCCGTGAAGCTCAGGACCTCGCCCGGGGCGCCTTTGACCCAGATGCTCTCGACGACGCTGCAAGCGGAAGACTCACTGTCGAGCATCTGGTACGTGACACGGCCCGGTCCAGACTGCGAGACTGGAACAGGTGGCGGCTCAGCCTCGGCGAAGCTGAAAGGCTCACGGCGAGGACCCACGTGCACTCGACGAACAGCACCTGGAACCTGAACCCAGCAGTCCTGGAGCGCCATCGGGATCTCGGCCCAGACATCACCACGACCTGCATTAACGACGAAAGGCGGAAATTTGCTGGCCAGATCCTCACTAATGGCGAATTCGCTCGGCTTGCATCCTATCAATGATACTGCTCGATGCCCCGAAGGAAGCTTAAGCAGATCCAAATCACGTCGATTCCCATCTTCTCCGATCGTCATCACGTTACGACGCAGATCTATCACGGACTTCAGAAAATCGAGAAACTTCGCCGGAAGCAGAGGAGGGCAAGGATGCGGGAGGACCAAGAACTCCACCACTCCACAATGCTGAAGCGACACCGGAACTGCTGCAACTCCGACTGGCTTGACTTTTCCTCCAACTCCGTTCGCCGTGGGAACCTCGTCGGTATCGACAAAGTGTATCTCGAAACCCTTTTTCTTGAAAGCAGCCTTCAACTTGTCGATGTCTGGTGTGCCTATCAGAGCCTGTCCAGCAGCGGTGTCTACCAGCGCGTACTCGTCCATGTCCTGCAGCGTTGCCGCCGCGAGCGCCTCCAGATCCACCTGACCCAGGTCGCGCTCCTGCTGGCCCACCTGACCCGCAGTCGCGGCGGCAGCGGAGAGCGAGCCCACCTGGCCCGACTCATCCAGAACCGCTGCCCAGCTCGTCCCTGAGTGACTCGCGTCGTAGTCCAAATTGAAGTAGAACGAGGTCTGCGCTGGCTTCTTATCCGAGCCCTTGTTGGCCGCCGCCGGTCGTGACGACTCGGACTTCAACCTATCTGCCTTACTCCAATACGGTCGTCGACAGTCTTCTCGCCAGTGCCCTTTTTCCCCGCAATTCGAACAGCGGGATCTCTTCTTAAAATCGTCCCTGGTGACCTTCTTCGTTCCCTTTTCCTTGCTACGGTCGAAGAAATCCCTGTCCACTTTTCTGTTCGTCTTGAGCTGCCTAGACTCTGCCCATGTGCGACGACGCTGAGGGAGCGTCACCTCAGCAAACACATCCATGATATGCTCCTCGTCAAGGTCCTGTGAGTCCAGCGAAATGAGAATGGTGGCAAGCTCCTGCTCGTCGAACTCCATCTCATAGAGCCCGAAACACTCGTTGTCGTCACATGCGTCGCACTCGTAATCCCCAGCCTCGTCGAGCACCGGTACCGTGGTCGCGAAGGTCCTGGCCTGAGCAGGTGCCGGCGCCTTCGGGAGCGTCTGCCTCTCGGTGATGTCCAGTTCCAGTTGGGCAGCGCGAACAGCCTCCACGGTCCTCTTACCAGCCATCAGGGTCCTCAGGTTGAGTCGAAGCTGGGGGGGTAAGTTAGCTCTTTCCTCGTAGTACCTGGCCTTCACTGTGTCGGGAAGTGTCAGACCCAGCCGCTCTGCGGCCGCAATCTGTTGATCTCGCCTGATCACGTAGTCCGTGAGGGTCTCTCCTTTCTTTATCGCGTAGTCAAAGAGTGCCTGATTGTGCGCCTCACGCTCTTTATCCCCTGGACGCTCCCCGTTGAGCAACTTAAGATGGTCAATAACTTGACTGAGGCCGTCGCTCTCGTCGGTCAGGTGCCTGATGCTCTTGAATCTCGCCTGAAGCTCGATGGGGAACGTCTCGATCACTCGCCCGGCACGGGTCTCCGCCTTGAATGCGGTCCGCCCGTCCCAGGACTTTTAAGACTAGCAAGGTACAACTCCAAATTCTCTAACCCATGCCACGTCGGAGGCGCAGAGTAGTCTCGATTGACTTCATCCCCAGGTGCCTTTCCCCACAAGCCGGAACCCCACCAGCTCCAGGAGGAAGACCAATGCCAATCAGACCAGCCTGCGCGCCCCCAGTTTCTCCAGGCGTCCTCATCTGAGTCGAGGCCGGCTGCGGCCCCATCTGTCTTCTGAGGACTGGAGATCCTTTCCCATGGGTCGGTCGCATGGGCGCCCCCTCGTTCGGGAACCTCCTGATCACGTGCAGCACCCTCAGCACCTGGCTCAGCAGCGCCCCCTTGACCCAGTGCCTCGTCCACGCTCCGGCTACCATTGTCAGCAGGCATCGGGGGCAGAGAGGGCCGAAAGGCCTAGAGGGAACACTTTTCTCAACCAAGTGTGTGAGATCGCACGAACATTCAGTCCTCTGGCGCGAGAGCGCCCCAAAGCCAAATTGGCTGCGTAACCACTGTCGGTCACAAAGAGGAAAGGGGAGGAGAGGAAAATGAGAACAACCCGAACGGTCGCGCAACGCGTGCTCTCGAGACCAACGTGGCTTCGTGTACGTGTGCACCCTTCCTTCGCTCCTGAAGACGTGGGGCAGAAGGAGCTGGACGAGAGGAGGAACAACGAGCATACTCCCACTTCCGTAGGCGAAATGGGCGGGCCTGACAACCTCCAGACGGGCCGCTTCTGACCCCCCCGTCGGGAGGCCCACCCAGACCTCTTCGCCAGACCCCCCCCCCAGCCCTCCAGGACAGCCACGAGTCAAGAGAGACCTCCCCCGCAAATCAGACCCCCCACCACACTTCCCAGACCCCCGACGTCATGATTTGTTCATGACGCGACCCCCAGAGGTCAGGACCCATTCCCCGGGACCGGTTTGTCATCCTGAGTCGTTTTTTGACGCTCCCGAGGCCCGGTGAGGGCCCCCCGAGGCCGAAAATGGCGAAAAACCTCCCGTCGTGATTTTTTCATTGCTCGAGGGGGTCTGGGTTTACTACGGAACTGAACATAAGCATAAACGTGCGGAGCTCCGCGTGGATGTCTTGGATCTGCGCTTGACCCCCCCCACTCTGGCGCACGGCGCGCGTCGGAGGCGGCGCCAGACGCTCCGCCACTTTGGGCGATGCTTAAGAAAACTTAAGTTTTCGGCCAGAGTCTCGATTATTCTTAATGTTTCAACGGAAATCCTAAGATTTGAATAGACAGTCTGGGTTTTATTTCAAATTCTGAGACTATGAATTTCTTAACCCATGATTTCGTAAGCATTTCGCAGGGTGTACGGGGGCCCAGCTCCGTTACGGAGCTCCGATATTTCATGTTTGGCGGCGGGCGCGGGGGGGAAGTGAAAAGGAGCGGGCCCTCTCAGAAGGCTCGGAAAACCTCCAGCCTTTGAGAAGTGTCCCGGGCCTTGCACTCTCCTCAGAATCCCAGAGGGCTCCTGAAAAGCCCCGCTGCCTTCTGAGAGGGCCTTATCCTTCTCACTTTCCCCCCTCCGCTCGCAGCCGATACTAAAGAGGCCCAAGGACAAACACATACATACACACAAATACCAAGACTCCGCAGATGTTCCCATCTGTTGTGGGTTTCCGTCTTGCCCCCCCTTCCCAGATTCTCTTATCTGTTCCTGGGAATCGGCGACTAATTGTGTCTGTGTTGCTGTCCCTCCTGAGGCATGTATATGCCGTGCTTCTTCCTCTAAGTATGATGTTATTCTCCTTGTTCTTATTATTGCCACTAGTATTATTATATTGGTTGCTTCTTCGTATTATTATTCTTATTATTTTCTTACCCTGTAACGCCCCTCGCGGGGGTAGAAACCAAGCGTCGTGTTGTCTCCTCCTCCACTCGTGTTTTTGCGCCAGACGTCCACCCCTGAGGCTCTCGGGAACTTCCACAAGGCTCGCAGGTGGTCAGGAAAATGCCCCGAACATCGAAGACTAAGTTCTTCGAGGTTTCGTCTTCGACTCCGTTCCCAGAGCCCCGACGTGGTATTTTTCTTCTTCTTCTGATTCTTCGTCTTATTATTCCTCTTGTTATTATTCTTCTTATTCTTATGATTATTCTTATTCTTATTATTGTTATTCTTCTTCTTCTTCTTCTTCTTCGTCTTCTTCTTCCTCGAGATCACCTCCCGATGGCGACACCGCGCGCTCCCAGGCGGGCCGGGCTGGGCAGGCCCCCGTTGGTGGCGAGCGGGCGACCCGGGGGGGCGACGCCTTCCCGCCCCTGGGCAACGATGCGGGAGGGCCTGGCACAGGGGGGGGGAAATATCGCCCTGCAGGCCCCCTCCAAGAGACCCCCCAGGAAGCCCCAGGAGGCCCCCACGAGGCTTCCAAGCGGCCCCTAAGAGCTTCCCAAGAGGCCCACAAACTACCCCCAAGAAGCCCCCAAGAGCGCTCGTCGTCGTCTTCGTCGTCGTCGTCGTCGTCGTCGTCGTCGTCGCCATTCAGGGTCGGCGGCACCGGCCGTAAGGCCTTCGCAATATCGACCTGGAATCGGCGATGCATCGCCGACACGTCGGCGGGGGGCCCCCAAACAGTGAGCACGCGCCCTCCTGGGCGGGTTGGGGGCTGTCGGGCCCCTGTCGGCGATCCGTGGGCGATTGGGGGTCGATGCCCCCCCCCCCACCCCCCAATGCCAATCCTCCCCTTGCAGTTGCCCCCTACTTGGGCCCACGAGGAGGAGGAGGAGGAGGAGGAGGAGGAGGAGGAGGGACGGGAAGGAGGAGGAGGAAGGATTTTTGGGGGGAGAGAGGAAGGAGGAGGGAGGAGGAGGAGGAGGAGGAAGGGAGGAGGAGGAGGAGGAAGGAGGGAGGAGGAGGAGAATTTTGGGAGGAGGAGGAGGAGGAGGAGGGAGGATTTTTGGGGAGGAGGAGGAGGGGGAGGAGGAGGAGTAGGAGGATTTTTGGGGTCGATGCAGCCCCCCCCCAAATGCCTATCCTCCCCTTGCAGTTGCCCCTGGGCCTACGCCCCCCTCACGCTGCCCCCTTGGCTCTCGGGTCTTAGCCTGGCCCTCTGGCGGCCGTTCGGGACGCTTCGGGCCCCCCAAGCTGAGAGCGCCTTCGGCGAGGCGCAGCTGCTGGAGAGCACCCCGAGGCTGGAAAGCCGCCGAGAGCCGACGCCAAAGAACGAACACATTGAAAACGTTCCCCCCCTCAGCCTGCGGTCGGGAACTTTTGCTTGAAAAGTGTCGCGCCGGCGGCCCCAGCGACACGCTACGCCCTGCAAGCTGATAGCGTGTCGCTCTGCCTCGTGCGGCGGGGAGGAGGAGGAGATGTAGGAGGAGGAGCAGGAAAAAGAGGAAGTGGAGGACCTGTCAGCCTGTCCTCAGCCTCCCCCCCTCATCATGGAAATATTGGGCTTCTTGGAACGTCTCACGATCATGATCTCTTGCCCCCCTAACTGGCGTTGCCCACAATCGGAGGCGCTCTGGCCCAGGTCAATGCAAACCCAGGTCAGTCAGGCTTTGCAGTATTCAAAAAGATCCTGCAAGATCCTAAAAGATCCTGCGCGCCAGCCCGGGTCAATGAAGCCCTGGCTCTGCAGGATCCTGCAGGATCCGGCGCTCTGGCTGACCCCCGTTTGCATTGACCCCCGTCCCTTGATGAGGGGCAACGATAGGGGAAGATAGGCATAGGGGGGGAAATATCGATCTGGAATCGGCGATACATCGCCGATACGTCGGCGATAGGCCCCCAAATGGTGAGTACGTACCATCCTTCCTGGGCGGGTTGGGGCTGTCGGGCCGCTATCGGCGATCAGTGGGCGACTGGGTGTCGATGCAGCCCCCCCCCAATGCCTATCCCCCCCTAAACCGTTGCCGCCCGTCTTGGGAGCCAGCCACGAGGGGAGGAGGAGTATGAGGAGAGGAGGAGGAGGAGGAGGAGGAGGAGGAGGGAGGATTTTTGCGGAGGAGGAGGAGGAGGAGGAGGAATTTTGGGAGGAGGAATGGAGAGGAGGAGGAGGAGGATTTTTGGGCAGAGGAGGAGGAGGAGGAGGAGGAGGAGGAGGAGGAGGCGCCTCCATCAGCAGCCGGTTGTCCTCGCTGGCGCTCGCGAGCTCCTCCTCCATGCGGGCGTCGACGGCCTCCGCGCGGGCGCGGGGCGCAGGCCGTGGCCGGCGGGGCGGGGGGCCTCGGCGCCGCCGCTGCCCCACCACGGGGGGGGGGGGGGCCAGGGACACACAGAGATCAATACACGCAGACCCCCTCGAAAAATGAAAAAATCATGACGGGAGGTTTTTCCAATTTTCGGTCTCCGGGGGCCCTCACCGACCCTCGGGACCGTCAAAAAACAACTCGGGATGAAAAACCGGTCCCGGCGAATAGGTCCGGACCTCTGGGGGTCGCGTCATGAAAAAATCATGACGTCGGGGGTCTGGGCCCGCAGGTCCCAGGATTCCCCGTCCTCTTCCTGCATTTTCTGGAGGTTCGTCTTCCCCCCCCCCTCCCCACACTGCTCATAGTTTTTTCCAGACTTCCCCTGGGATCGGCGGCTATGTTGTGTCTGCGTGGTGTTTGCCCCGCCCCCCACCACGGTCGGGTGCTCCCTCAATCGGGGGCGGCAAAGAGGGGGGTGTCCAAGAAGGGGGGGTGCAAATCGTGGCCGGCGGCATGTGCGCGGCCCAGCGAGGGGGCCAGGGACGTAATGAAATAAGAAGAGGCGCCATGAAATCTGGGGAAGTATCATGGCCCCCGCCATGATACAGGCGCCCCCAAAGTCGAATCGACAAGTCGGGTCGGCGATCGAAATGAGTCGGATCGGCGGAAATCGGCAGCCGAGTCGGGAGAAGTCGAATCGGCGGAAATCGGCAGGCTAGTGTGCCTCCAATAAGAAATCGGAGCCCAAATCGGAATCTGAGGTCGAATCGAATCGGAATCGGAAACCATCGAAATCGAATCGAATCGAATCGGAAGAATCGAAACGAGCCCTGATGATATCCCCCCCCTGGTCATCACCCCCCTCTCTGCCGCCCCCGATTCAAGGGGGGCCTGTGCACGCCGGTGTGTTGACGGCTTCTGCCAGAGGGGCCGACGTCGCGGCCACAGCAGCAGATGCTCAAGTCTCGTGAGCGCTGCATGTAGGAGCTCGAACGCAAGAACCCTTCCACAAGAAACCCAACCCTGACACCGCAGGACGTCCATTGATCTGCGGTGTGGGAACGTCGCGCTCGCCAGAGCAGAACCATCGAAGCCCAAGAACCCCAGGGCGCCCTGGAGGCAAGCAGGGTGTTTCTTGGCATGGGTTCCCACGTCCCACTGTAGACGGAGTAGCTGTCGGTGCATCTCGAGGTGGCTACGAAGAAAGGCCTGACTGACTGAAGCCGTGCATCCCTGGCGGACGCGTGGGCAAATTGGGCGAAACAAACTATCACGGAATGTACAACTGCACAAGCACAGGAGGAAGGAGAAGGAGGAAGGGGGGGGAGGAGAGCATATTACAAAAATCTGTAAACTGACGTCGCCCACAAAAATCTAAACTGACGTCGCCCCCCGAAGAAAGGACGTGCCTCTGAAATCAAGATGCTTCCCTTGCGAAACCACTCCGCCTTGGAGCGAGGCTCGCAGACCGAGCCGTTGCCTCTTTTCTGTCGTGCCGGTTCTCGTACCCCAACATCCACATGCAGTCAATCCGCATCTAGGGGGAAAACAAACCTACCTCGCTTTTGACCACCCTCGCTTCCAAGAGATACCAAACGATGCCAAATTGCAGCCTGTACTGGTCAGGCCGCTTGACGAGGAGGCGCGTGGTATGGCTTGGTTTTGCCTGGAAGCGAAAGCGGGGTAGGTAATTCACGCTCTGGGCATCATAAGGATGCGCGGTAAGGATGCAGGGGCTTTGGAGGGCCAAGTGGATGCTCTTCGAACGAGGCTGGCCAGCGAAAGTCGCTCAGGACGGGCCGAGGGGGCAAGGATGCAAGGGTACCCTTGGGAAGGTTGCCCATCCTTGATCTGCGGGCTGTCCCGCCCCTCCTCCTCCTTCCTCCTCCTCCTCCTCCTCCTCCTCCTCCTCCTCCCCCTCCCCCCCTCCTCCTCCCTCCTCCTCCTCCTCCTCCTCCTCCTCCTCCTCCTCCTCCTCCTCCTCCTCCTCCTCCTCCTCCTCCTCCTCCTCCTCCTCCTCCTCCTCCCTGCCTCCCTCCTCCTCCTCCTCCTCCCTCCCTCCTCCTCTCCGCCTCCTCCTCCTCCTCCTCCTCCTCTCCTCTCCTCCTCCCTCCTCCTCTCTCCTCCTCCTCCTCCTCCTCCTCCTCCTCCTCCTGCTCCTCCCCCCTCCCCCTCCTCCTCCTCCTCCTCCTCCTCCCCGCCTCCTCCTCCTCCTCCTCCTCCTCCTCCTCCTCCTCCTCCTCCTCCTCTACCTCCCCTCCCCTCTCCTCCTCCTCCTCCTCCTCCACCTCCTCCTCCTCCTCCTCCTCCTCCTCCTCCTCCTCCTCCTCCTCCCTCCTTCTCCTCCCTCCTCCTCCTCCTCCTCCTCCTCCCTCCTCCCTCTCCTCCTCCTCCTCTCCTCCTCCTCCTCCTCCTCCTCCTCCTCCTCCTCCTCCCCGGGGTCTGAAGGGCGTCCCGGCGTTCGAAGGGGTGCCCACGGCCACTCGCAGGAGGGCCCTGGGCCGACCGAGGGCGGCCCGAAGACTGCCCCCCAGAACTGCTCCCTTCGCTGAAGCATCGCGGCCAGGGGCTCGCGCCGCACAGTGATACACCCTGCGAAATGCTTAAGAAATCATGGATTAAGAAATTCATAGTCTCAGAACTTGAATAAATACCCAAAAGTCCTATTAAAATCTTAGGATTTACATTGAAACATTAAGAATAATCGAGACTCTGGCCGAAGACGTAAGTTTTCTTAAGCATCGCCTAAGGTGTAGGCTCCAGGGCCTCCAGGAGAGAACTTACAGTGCGGTGGCGCCTCCTCTGCAAGCTCGTGCCTCGGCAGTGGACGCGGCCGCTGCTGGGTGGACGTCCGCTGTGGCTGCACAGATGATCGTGGCGACCGCTCCCGTCTGGGCTTCCGAGATGGCGGCACACGGTCGGGCACGACTCGAGTTTACAGTCGATCACGGCTGGAGCTGGATCATGTGAGCTACGCCCTTCCTGGCCCTTCCGCACATGATCAGCACGTGGTACGTGATTGCTGTGCGCAGCCCATGGGCGCGAAGACCTGGCCCCTCGCTCCTTCCTCGGGGCAGGGCCCAGCGGAGCCAAACTTACACTTTTAGCGCTCCGCGCGGATCTCTTGGATCTGCGCTTCACTCCCTTCCCTGGCGCGCGGAGCGCGCCACGGGCGGCGCCGGAGGCGAGGCGGGGGGGCTCCTTCGTCTGGTTCTGCTTCGAGTTTGGAGGACAACAGACGTGCAAGCGTAAACTTCGGAGGAGGAGGAGGAGGAGGAGAAGGAGGAGGAGGGGGAGGAGGAGGAGGAGGAGGAGAGCACAGGGCCGAGAGAAGAGAGAGCGGACAAGACGCGAGCAAGGGACAAGAGGGCAGGCGGATAAGAGCAGAAGGGGGGAGGAAAGAACGTCCCAGCACCACGCGCCTCATCGGAGAAGCGCCTGAAGCCCAGGCCAGCGTCGCATCAGCTTCTTGATGCGAGCTGAAGCCATGAGACGCAACGGGATGATCCTCTGGACAAGTGCGGACTCCTTGCTATCATGGTAGGCAGAACAGATGATATCAATGCACACAGCAGCAGACACCAGTTCAGATTTCGAGGCAGGCAGAAGAGGATGGAACGCGGCACGCTGGGCGCCACTGGCAATGAGAAAGCGCTCGGACAGATGGGGCAATAAGGGATAGATGCGCTGTAAGGAACTACGCTCTAGATAAAGACGGAGCGAATCAGGGCAAGTTCTGACTTTACAGAAGTGGCACGCACGAGTAGGCCCTGGGAACCTGGCCGAGGTGGTCCAGGCTTTACAAATGGTACGATAAACACTGGCAACAATACAAGCAGGAGCGGCTTGGGCAAGTCTGCGAACCGCCATGGAAAGCAACATGCATTCATGCATAGTCCCCGGCCGACCGAGGTGGTGTTCAGCTCTTCTAGCTAAACAAGTGGCGGCCAGATCGGACCGCCGCCGACGGAGGATACGCTCAGTCTTCATTTGCATACGGAACTGCGCGACAGGGGGCACATGAGGGATGGCGGTGAGAGCGAGATAATTATCAAGCAAGTGCGAGAACATACTAGACTTATACCAAGAATGAAGGCGCCATAAATAGATACAATCGTCAGAATCGCTGAAACCATCCAGGAGGTCCCGAATTTCGAAAAAAAAGGCAGGCGTAGTGCAGGCCAGCCTATACAAGGCCGCGCGGGAAACACACTGGACGTCCCGAGCCTCACAGGGAAACCACAAGCTTTTTAAATCGGTAAGCATGCCAGTCGAAAAAGCGTTGCGCGGGGCAGGAGTGATAGTTTGCACAGCAGTGTCAACAGCACGCAGGGCATCAGGAGACGGGCGATAGTACTGCATGACGTGCGACAAGACAGAGAAACCCACCGAGTTGAACTGCACGATGCTCTTAGCGAGCCCCAGGGACAAGTGCTTGATGGCCCGTGCACGACTGATACACTTGGTGGTGGGCGCAATCCAGCTGTCAAAGTGGCCTGACTGGCCAAGAATGGTACCAAGGTGCTTCCCTGACTGCACGACCCGAAACGACCACGGCATGAAACCAGCATCGAGCAGCTTCTGATGAATGTACTCGTCATTGGCGTTCATAACTCGTATGACCACTGTCTTCGAGAGGTTGGGCTTCAAACCTGATGCCCGCGTGCCGAAGTTCAGAATGGGCAGCGCGGCAGCGAGGGTAGAGAAGACATCAGCACATCCCACTCCAAGGTCGTCGGCGAAGGCGCCGAAGATATTGACTCTCGCAGGTTGACGATCAGCAAGCATGCGAAGAATAGGGTCGATCGCCAATGCGAACAAACTGCCCGATAACGGGCACCCTTGTTTGATGCCGCGATTCACGGCAAATTGTCCGCCACGGGCGCCGCCAAAAGATACTGATACCCGAACATTGTGGTAAAGCAGCTTGATACTCGCCCTAATATGCGCGGGCACTGCTAGCACTTCCAAAATCCAGAAGATATACTCGTGCGCCAATGTAGGAAAAGCACTCTCATAATCAAACAAGATGAATCCAGCATCCAAGAAGCCATGCTGGAAGGAGGAGGAGGAGGAGGAGGAAGTGTGTGCTTGTGGCGTGTCGTCTTGTTCTTCTTCGAGCTTGGAGGGAAGAAAAAGACGTGCAGGAGCGCAAACTTCGGAGCTCCGCGCGTGGGGCCCGCTCCCTGGGGCGCACAGGACCCCACGCTGTCCTCCTCCTCCTCGTCGTCCTCCTCCTCCTCCTCCTCCTCCTCCTCCCTCCTCCCTCCTGCTCCTCCTCCTCTTCCCCCTCCTCCTCCCTCTCTCCTCCTCCTCCTCCCTCCTCCTCCTCCTCCTCCTCCCTCCTCCTCTCTCCTCCTCCTCCTCCTCCTCCTCTCCTCCCTCTCCTCCTCCTCCTCCTCCTCCTCCTCCTCCCCTCCTCCTCCTCCTCCCTGGCGCGCCCGGGACGCCAAGGGCGGCGCCGGAGGCGCCGCCCGAGGAGCCCCCGCGCAGATCCACGAGACCCGCGGGGGGAGCTCTGCGAGCTGATCGGGGGTGGACAGGACCCCCTCCTCCTCCACCTCCTCCTCCTCCCTCCTCCCTCCTCCCTCCTCCCCCTCCCTCTCCCTCCTCCCCTCCCTCTCCCTCCCTCCCTCTCCCTCCTCCTCCTCCTCCTCCTCCTCCTCCTCCTCCTCCATCGGGGGTGGACAGGACCCCCCTCTAGCACAACGCGGTGTCGTGGAACGGCCTCGGGCCCAAGCCTGGCGGGCGCAAGCCCGGAAAATGGCGGCCGCGGCACCCTCTCGAGAACCGAAGACTGACAATTCACCAATCGACGTGTCAGGGTGGGGGTTCTCTCCGCCCCCCGAGCTGGTGCTTCTACATGGTCGGTCCTCTTCGAAGTGAAGCCTGCTCCTTTCTCGGCGGCGCGCCCAGGGGGGAGGTGAGAGGGGGCAGGCCTTCTCAGAAGGCGGCCCTCCTGGGGAAACCAAAAGGTACCGATACCGCTTGGACCTCTCCCGGGGTGCGTTCTGACCAGAACTTCGAGGCGAACCCAGCGGTGGTGACGAGGGCCGCCCAGGAGGCCCAAAAAGGGGAAAACGGGCGAAGGGTAGAGGTCGGGGTACCTTTTCCTCCTCTGAGGCCCTCCGACCTTCTGAGAAGGCTCGGGTCGCTTCTGAGCAGGCTCGCCGCCTCCGGGCGCGCCGCCGCGGCTGGTTTCTGGATCGCGACTCGGCTCTCCCTCGGCCGGCTGGCGGCGCTTCGGGGGCATCGGGGCACCCCATGATGAAGGGGCCCGCAAGCACACAAACAAATACACACAGAGATAACACAATTCCTCCATCTTTTTTCCCACATGTTCTGGGCTTCTGTCTCCCCCCCCCACTTCCCATATTCTCCCACATTCTCTTGGGGATCGACGATTCATTCTGTCTGTGTGTTTCTCCCCCTCCTGAAGTGCAGGGGAACTGGGACACACAAATAAATACACACAAATAAAAATATCCCCCATATTTTCCCATATTTTCTGGGTTTTTGTCTTCCCCCCCACTTCCCATATTCTCCCACATTCTCCTGGGGATCGACGATCAATGGTGTCTGTGTGTTTCTCCCCCTCCTGAAGTGAAGGGGAACTGGGACACACAAATGAATACACACAAATAAACATATCCCCCATATTTTCCCATATTTTCTGGGCTTCTGTCTTCCCCCCCACTTCCCACATTCTCCCACATCCTCCTGGGGATCGACGATCCATGGCGTCTGTGTGTTTCTCCCCCTCCCGAAGAGCGCTCGCGGCGAGGCGCAGCCGGCGGACAACCCCCCCCGAGGCCGGGGCTTCAGGGCCCAGGGCCGGGGCTTCAGGGCCGAGGCACGGGCTGCCCAGACCTCCTCGCGTCGGGACAAAAATCACGACGGGAGGTTTCTCGCTATCTTCCGCCTCTGGGGGCCGCGCGCGGAGCGGAGGAGGAGGAGGAGGAGGAGGAGGAGGAGGAGGAGGAGGAGGAGGAGGAAGAGGAGGAGGGAGGAGGAGGAGGAGGAGGAGAACCGCCGGAGGCCACCGGTGCCGAGGCCCACCCGCCCGGGGGCGCGCCGCCGATCTCTCGGAGCGTCGGTCCTGCTCGGGGCGGCCACGGAGGGCCGGGGGTCCGACGAGGGGGGGTCACATGGCATGGCTCGCGGGCGAGGCGGAGACCCCCCCGTCTCAGAGATGCGGGGGGGTTACGAGGAGGGGGGAGACGAGGACCCCCCCCTCGTGGACCCCCCCCTCGTAGACCCCCCCCTCGTGGACCCCTCCCCCTCGCAGACCCCCCCCCCTCGGACGAGGGGGGGGGGGTCCACGAGGGGGTCTCGTGCCGAGGCAGGTGCGCGGACGGGGCGGAGACCAAGGACGCATTCAGAGAGGAACAGAAAGGGGGCCATGAGATCTGGGGAGACGTCATGGCCACCGCCATGGTATCCACCCCGCTGAGCCGTCGACCTCCCCGAAAAGGGAATGATAAGGAACGAGGGGGCGTTTCTGGCCACGGCGGGCCCAGGCCACCAAACAGGCTCTCCACGACACAGACCTATGGCACGGCGCGCAGATCAGAGCCCCTCCTGAGCCCGAGGGTGGTCCTCACTTCAGCGTCTTGCCTGTAGTCATCCCCCCCTCTCTCCTCCTCCTCCTCCTCCTCCTCCTCCTCCTCCTCCTCCTCCTCCTCCTCCTCCTCCTCCTCCTCCTCCCCCTCCTGTCCCTCGCGGCCGCCCCTCCTCGCATTCTCCCACTCGTGCAGCCGTCACGAACATGAGCCCCCCCGTCGGCCACAACGAGCAGAACATCCAAGGGTACCCATCCGCAGGATGCACAAGACCATCCAACATGGGAGGAGGAGGAGGAGGAGGAGGAGGAGGAGGAGGAGGAGGAGGAGGAGGAGGAGGAGGCACGAATAACATTAGGGCACCCTCCCCGCACCGACCTCGTTCTTATACCTCGGTTCGACTGTCGTCATCACCCCCCTCGTCGTCACCCCCGACCTGCGCGCCAACTTCACTGCCCTGGCCGCTGACCGAAAATCCAAGCCTTTCGCCCCAAGAGGCCCCCAGGAGGCGCCCAAGAGGCGCCCAAGAGGCGCTCAGGAGGCCCCCAGGAGGCGCCCAAGAGGCGCCTCAGAGCCCCCAAGAGGCCCCAAGAGGCCCCCAGAAGGCGCCGAAGCCCCCAGGAGGCGCCCAAGGGGCGCCCAATAGGCCTCAAAACGGCACCCGAGAAGCCCCAAGGCTGCCCCCGAGAGGCCTCAAAACAGCCCCCTCATGGCCGCCCGTCAACTCCCCTGCCCTGGCCGCTGCGGATCATGCTCCTCCTGCTCCTGCTCCAGCTCCTGCTCCTGCTCCAGCTCCTGCTCCTGCTCCTGCTCCTGCTCCTGCTCCAGCTCCTGCTCCTGCTCCTGCTGCTGCTGCTGCTCCTGCTCCTGCTCCTGCTCCTGCTCCTGCTGCTGCTGCTGCTCCTGCTCCTGCTCCTGCTCCTGCTCCTGCTCCTGCTCCTCCTCCTCCTCTCCTTCCTCCTCCTCCTCCTCCCTGCTCCTCCTCCTCCTCCTCCTCTTTCCTCCTCCTCTCCCCAACATCCTCCTCTCTCCCCCCTCCCCCTCTCCCCTCCTCCCTACCTTCCTCCTGCTCCTCCTCTCACTCCCCCCTTCCTCTCATTCCTCCTCCTCCTCCTTTCACCGCCTCCTTCGTCATGGATCCTTCTCTGCTCCTCCTCTCCTCCTCCTCCACCCTCCCCCCTACTACCTTACTACTTTTTCTTCTTTACTACTACCCTCCTCATCATCCTCTCCTCATACAGCTTATCAACTTCAGATCATATCAGCATCAGCATCAGCATCGCATCAGCATCCACGCATCAGCATCAGGCATCATCATCATCATTCATCATCATCATCATCATCATATAAATTCATCATCATTCATCATCATCATCATCATCAGCATCATATCGTCATCATACATCATCAGCAACATCATCATCAGCATCAGCATCAGCATCAGCATCTTCATCATCGAGTCATCGTCCATATCATTCCTCATCCTCCTCATTTCATCCATCATTAGCCATGTCTATCTTTCGTCACATCATATCTTCTTCTGCATCAGAATTAACATTTGCATCATCATTACCACCACCATCATACCATCTGCATCATCATCATCAGCATCATATCATATTCATCTATCATCATCATCATCATATCATTCATCATCATCATCATCATCATAATCATCATCATAATCATCATCATCATCATCATCATCATCATCATCGGCATCATCAACACCATCATCATCATCAGCAGCAGCATCATCATCATCAGCATCATCATCATCATCATCATCAGCATCAGCATCAGCATCAGCATCATCATCATTATCATCATCATCATCACCATCGTCATCAGCATCAGCATCAGTATCAGTATCAACATCATCTCCATCTCCATCACCATTACCATCACCAGCATCACCATCACCAGCCTCATCATCATCAGCAGCAGCAGCATCATCATCAGCATCATCATCGTCATCATCCTCATCTTCATCCTCCTCACCCTCCTCCTCCTCCTCCTCCTCCTCCTCATCCACATCCTCATCCTCAGCACCATCAACATCAACAACAGCATCAGCATCAACACCACCACCAACACCACCTCTGCCCTCCTCCTGCCCCTCCGCCGTCCCCTGGGGCCTCCACGTCCTCGACGGAGATCGACCTGCTCTGCAGCTTGGCCTCCCCGCCGCAGCCGCCCTCTGCTCCGTCAGGGGCCCCCTCCCGCCCTCCTGGTGCCCAGGGCCCCAGACCTCGGGGGCGTCCAAGACCCACACCTCCTCCTCCGCCCTCCTCCTCCTGCTGCTCCTCCTCCTCCTCCTCCTCCTCCTGCTCCTCCGCCTCCTCCTCCTCCTCCTCCTCCTCCTCCTCCTCCTCCTCCTCTCCTCCTCCTCCCCCTCCCCCCCCTCTCCCCCCCTCCTCCTCCCCCTCCTCCTCCTCCTCCTCCTCCTCCTCCCTCCCGCCTCCTCCCTCCTCCCTCCTCCTCCCTCCCACGTCTCGAGGGCCTCCAGGCTGCAGCGGTGCGCGGCCTTCGGCCTGGGGGGGCCCGCGGCAGGCCCTGCGGCCCTCCTCGGGGGCCAGGGGCCTTTTTTGAAGGGGCCCCAGGACACACAAATAAATATACACAAATAAAAAAGTTCCCCATATTTTCCCATATGTTCTCGGTTTCTGTCTTCCCCCCCCACTTCCCATATTTTCCCATATTTTCTGGGGAATCGAGGATTAATTGTGTCTGTGTGTTCTTTCCTCTCCTGATTTTTACCCGACCCCCCCGCCCCCGAACTGCAGTGTCGAGGGACGCGCGCGGCGCGGCCCGCGGGGTCAGCCGAAAGTTTGCAGTCGTCGGCGTCGGCGTCAACATCGAAAGCAGGGGTCCGGAGGCGTCGCAGCGTCGAGGGGAGAAGCTGGCGCCTGCTTTCGAGAGAGGATGTGGGGCCGCCCAAACAAAAACTCGGGAGAAAGAGCCCGGCCCCGGAGAACAGGTAGGGACCTCCGGGGTCCCCGCACTGAGAAATTGAAGACATCGGATGTCTGGGGAGGCGGGTTCGCAAGTCATGACTCGCAGTACGTGTGCGTGTCAAGGGGGGGGGGCCAAAGGACGTTTTGAGGTAAGGTGAGGGGGCCACGAATCCGGGACATCTCATGGCCCTAGCCATGATATCCACCTCCTTTGGTCATCACCCTCTAGGTCGCCCCCGAATGCAACAATCAAGCAGGCCCTGGCCTAACCCCCAGGGAATCTCAGTTGTCCCTTTCTGCGTCGCCAGAACCTCTCGCGTCCTGCAGAGCCAGGAACGATGCAGCGCAGTAGGGGGGCAAGCGCAGCTGTCGATGCAGACGCCTTCGAACGGGAGTCGCAACTGAGAAACGCCTCGGGCGAGACTGCACCATTCTGCGAATGCAACTCGACTGCCCACTGGCGAGCAAAACCTCGCCGTAATTCCCAGGCCCGTGAACCGCGGAACACGTGCGCCCCCCTTGGCCCTCGGCACGCTCACGCGACGTTGGAGCAGGTCGAGCACCCCCCTCCCGTCCGACCGGGGAGTCAGCAACACATTCTGTGGGGTCAACATTGTTTGGGGCCCCCTTCGACAACCAAGCAGAAAGTTACAGCTCATTGAAAAGACAAAACTGCCAGCCAATCATCCCCCCCGGACGCTGCTCCACATGGCCGGATGCTGGAGTACTCCAGATTTCGTAATAGAGGGAGGGGGGTCTAATTTCGGGGGGGGGGTCTCTTCCAGGCTATCTTGGAGGGCCGGGGGGGGTCTGGGGACGATGTTTTGGAGGGTTCTCCCACGGGGAGGGGGGTCTGAGATGGCTTGTCTTGGAGGGTCCAGACCCCCTCCCTTTTATTACGAACTCTGGAGTATCCGCCCCTACAATAGCCCCTATCCCGTGAGCCTCTACCCTCCGCTTCCAGCCCCGACCATATCCGCCTCCACACCCGCTCCCCCCCCTGACTCTGTCCCCCTCGCTCCCCAGGGGGCGCCCAATCGTCCCCTGAGCCCATCTCCCCCTCTTGGACGCCGGAACGGGTGCGATGCCCAACAACAAATTTTGTCCAAAACCGACTGCGGCCGCTGTAAAGCAGGCGGCCTTCTGGAGTAACCAGCAGCGGCGCCGTTGCAACAGAAAGTGTGGGCCGGGTCATCGAAAATACGAGCTCGATCGCCAGAGCGTCTGGCTCCGAGCCTGATCTCATGCTCCCATCTCCATCGTCCTTCCTGCGATGGGCGATTCTCGATTCTCGCGCTCTCTCTCTCTCTCTCTTTCTATTTCTCTTTCTTTCTCTCTTTTTTTTTTCTCTCTCTCTCTCTCTCCCTCTCTCCCTCTCTCTCTACGTATATATGTATTATGTACAACTCTGTCACACTCCCTCTCGTTGCTTTCCTCTCTCTCTCTCTCTTTGGCTCTCTTTCTTTCCCTCTCTCTCTCTCTCTCCCCCCCCCTCTCTGTCCTACAGCACTTCCTTCCCTGCTCCCCTCCACCCCCGCCTCCCTCCATCAGGCTCGATGCCTCTGGCTCTTGTCCTTCCCTCCCTCTCCTCCTCCCCCATCGCCTGCCAACCTCTCTGAACATACTCCCTCTCCTGCTCGGGGCAGAGGAAAGGGGGGGTTATCAAGGTGGAGGTTGCCGAAACAGTTCACGTGGCCGACCTCCCCAGCGCCTCCCCGCGCCGGTGTAGGCGCCAATTTTTAGCCGAGGAGACCGCCCGACGGCTGGGCTGAAACCAGCTGCAGGTCGCAGATGCCATGCAGCAGGAGCTCGACCACAAGAAACCTTCCACGAGAAACCCAACCCTGAGACCCCAGGACGTCCATTGAGTTTGGGTGCGGCAGCGTCACGCAAAGCCATCGAAAGCAAAGAGACCCAGGGCACCCTGGAGGCAAGCAGGGTGCTTCTTGGTATGGGTTTCCATTGTAACACACACACACACATTCCGTATGCCCGAAAATTGGGCGCCCGAGTTATCCGGGGTAACTCGGGTCTGGGGTAACTCGGGTTTGGGTTCCCGAAAAAGGAACCCGAATTAGCCCTGACCCGAGTTACCCCTGATGATTCGTGGCTCTGGACGCCCGAAATATCCGGGGTAACTCGGGTCCGGGATAACTCGGGTTTGGATTTCCGAAAAACGAACCCGAGTTATCCCTGACCCGAGTTACCCCTGATGATTCGGGGCTCTGGACGCCCGAAATATCCGGGGTAACTCGGGTCCAGGATAACTCGGGTTTGGATTTCCGAAAAACGAACCCGAGTTATCCCTGACCCGAGTTACCCCTAATGATTCGGGGCTCTGAGAAAAAACGAGTCCTGAGGGAAACGGCTCCCGGACACCGGAACCTTCCCCCAGGACCAATCCTTCCTCTCGAGCCGTGCCCTGACGGTCGTGGTGCCCGTGGAGGGCACCTCGAGCTCGAGAAGCGCGAAAAAACCTCGGCCTCCATGGCGACCCTTTCGTTCGATCTGACCTATCCCCCCGTGCAACCGCTGTCGGGAGCGGCAAAGAGGGGGGCGTCAAAGAGGGGGGGGTGCAAATCATGACCGGCGGCATGTGCGCGGCCCGACGGGGGGGCCAGGGACGTAATGAAATAAGAAGAGGCGCCATGAAATCTGGGGAAATATCATGGCCCCCGCCATGATATCCGCCCCCCCCTAGTCCTCACCCCCCTCTTTTCCGCCCCCGACGCTGATCGGCCAAAAGCGGTGCTCCGGGAAAGGCTCTCATCGGCCCACCGCGGGGCTCCCTGGGAGGTGCTGCGAGGCTGCCACAGGCATGCGCGGAGAGTACTACCCCTTCTCGACGCGTCGGGAAAGTCCCCTCCCCCCAAAGCGACTCACCGTGACCTCGGCTTCCTGCTGAAGGAAACCTTCTGGCGCGGCACCGGCTCAGGGAGGGAAACACCGAGCTGGAATCGCCGATGCATCGCCGAAAGATCGGCGATGGGCCCCCGACAACGAGACCGCGCGTTCCTGAGAAAGGATGGGGCTGTTGGGCCCCTATCAGCGATGGCATGGCGACTGGGGGTCGACGCATCTCATCTCACTCTGAGCATATCCTCCCTGTAGTTGCTCGCGACCTGCACCGTGCTCGTGCCGTCTCGGAGAGCATCGACGGCTGCGCCTGCAACGCTCGTCGCCGCGGTGTGGGGGAGCAGAAATGGCATCGACGACCCGACTCGACTGGCCCGACCTTCCCCCAGGCAATGCCAAAGGGGGGTGTCACCACTAGGGGGGTCGCCCTTGTCTTGGAGGAAGCGCCACTCCCTCATGAAAATGCCTCGAGGAGGAGGAGGAGGAGGATGAGGAGGAGGAGGAGGAGGAGGAGGAGCATCGGGCTTCGATACCACAAGCTCGCCCTCAGAAGGAACCCGGGGTGCCCCCCCAGTGGTGACCCTCCCTGGGCGCTGCCCGACTCCCTGGACCACACGGCGGCCAGCCAGCAGGGGTGGCCCCGCGCCCACCAACACCGCCACCCCTGCCTGGGCAGTCGAAGCCAATCTGGCGCGCCAATCTGGCAGGCCCAATCTGGCAAACGGGGGCAATCTGGCGAGGGAGCCAACGCGAATCCAGTCTGGCGAATAACCCAAGTCATCCAGTTTGGCCGGGCCAGATTGGCCCGTGGGGCCCAATCCAATCTGACAGTCTGGCCTTCGACTACCCAGACAAGGCGGCCAGCCAGCAGGGGTGGCCCCACTCCTCCTCCTCCTCCTCCTCCTCCTCCTCCTCCTCCTCCTCCTCCACCTCCCCCTCCCCCACGCCGCGCCCTACCACCCCAGGCGTGCCGCTGCGAAGGTGGCCCCGCGCCCACCAACACCGCCACCCCTGCGGGGACAGCAAACGACCACAACCACATCAAGGACACGCCCCCGGAGGGCGTCCTGCGCGAGCGGCAACAATCGCCAGAATGACGAGGCCAGCTTGGCGCCTGGTTGTGGTCGGCGTGGCGTGCCAGGACGGCCAAACCGACCACAACTGCAACCAATGTGCTCATGTCGAGGCCGGTGAGCTCTTCCCCGAGTGCCCCCCCCGAAAAAAAAACACTCACGTTCGGACCTAGGACAGAAGAGCACCCGTCAAGAACATGCGATCTTCTGCTGGCCGAACCACCCCCAGCCATAAGATCACTCGAGGGTACCCTCTCCCAGGATGCACAAGAACATCCGACCAGCACGAAGAACATGAGGGTACCCTCCCCGAACCGACCTCGATCTTACACCTCGGTCCGACCGTAACTGCGGTTGTAGTTTGGCGGAGAGCGAGGGGGCGAAGCGAGCAGGAGCAGGCCCTCTCTTCTGCGTCTCCGGGGACGGCCGAGGACACTTCTCGGGAGGCCAGGGGACTTCCGAGCCCTCTGCGAAGGCCTGGCCCTGCTCGCCCTCCCCCCCTGCCTGGGCAGTCGAAGCCAATCTGGCGCCCCAATCTGGCAGGCCCAATCTGGCAAACGGGGGCAATCTGGCGAGGGAGCCCACGCGAATCCAGTCTGGCGAATAACCCAAACCGTCCAGTTTGGCCAGGCCAGATTGGCCCGTGGGGCCCAATCCAATCTGACAGTCTGGCCTTCGACTACCCAGACAAGGCGGCCAGCCAGCAGGGGTGGCCCCACTCCTCCTCCTCCTCCTCCTCCTCCTCCTCCTCCTCCTCCTCCTCCTCCTCCTCCTCTTCCTCTTCCTCCTCCTCCTCCTCCTCCTCCTCCTCCTCCGCCGACTGGCTCACTGCGGTGCCCGGACCCCCCCCCCCTTGCGCGCCGACATGTCGGCCACGAAGACCGGGTCCTTGGCCTTCGCCGCGGCCTCCTGCGCTCGGCGCGGCCGGGACGCGCCGCGCCGGCTCGGGGCGGCAGGGGAGGGGGAGGGCCCAACGACAGACCCCCTCCCTGTGCCTCCTCCTCTCCGTTTTCCCTGCTTCTGAGCACCTCCTTGCTTGCCTGAAGGTCGGGCGTGTCCCCCCACAGGGGGATTTTGGGCGACAAGTATCTGTCAAAAAACAACTCACAAAATACCCTCCGAATACTTCTTCTTCTTCTTCTTCTTCTTATTCTTCTTCTTCTTCTTCTTATTCTGCTTCTTCTTCTTCTTCTTCTTCTTCTTCTTCTTCTTCTTCTTCTTCTTCTTCTTCTTTTTTTTCAAAACAGAAAGAAAAAATCGCCCCCAGACTATTTTTTGACTATTTGGGAAGCTTCCCCCTGTAGAGGGACACGCCCGACTTAGTGCTCGCCTTCGCTGCTGTCTTGCCGCCCTGCCTTGCCATCCCTGGCATCCCGCCTTGCCTTCCCGCGGGCCGCCGCGGGTCACGGACGCTGCGGGCGGGCGCGCGCGCCCTCCCAGCTGGCGCAGGAACGTGAAGGGGCCCAGGGACACACTGAGAAATACACACAAACAGCAAGGATTCCCCATAGTTTCCCCATACTCTCTGGGCTCAAAAAAGAGACCAGGTGGGAGTGGAGGTGCAGAGGTGCACATTCGTGCCCCAAATCAAGGGGAAGCTGGCGCCAGCGTGGGTCTCCATTCCGACATTGCGCTTGCCAAGCTGCCGATCCAAGATCAAGAACCTGCACACAGTCCTGGGTGACGACTGGCTAGAACTCAATTATGGCAAGGCCGAGGGAACCCACTCAGAGAACTGCTACGCGCTGCGGCTAGGGGTGCGCGGCAAACAGCCACCACCATGATCAAATCAGAAAGCAACGCCAGCCACTGGACGGCAGCAAGACCCCGCAATGGCAAAGCACTCGATCTGTCGTTGCTCATAATACTGTTAGCGAATCGATCCTGAATGGCCCTTGCTCTGCTCTAGCAATTCGGCCTAGGTATAACAATACCCCAATATTTGCAAATTCACTTCAAGCCGTCCGTCCATTGTTGCCTGCAACCTTGGTAACCTTTAGGAACAGAGCCAGGGACCTAGGCGTAATACTGCTTTTCGACGATGCCCCCTCCCAGTGAAGGGGAGATGAAGGAGCAGAGGGAAACGAATAGAGCAGGGCTGGAAAAAAGGTTTGGGATTGTGAGCCTCTTGCGAGAGGTGGCCCCTGCCTGGAGTTGCTTCTCGAACAACGCCTGCCTCTCCGCGATCTGGGCGGCCAACTCCTTCCCGGCTCGGCCACGCGTCGTGGGCGTGGCGGACTGGGCGAAGTCTCTCTCTCTCTCTCTCTTTCCCTCACTCTGCCTCTCGTTATGTCTTTATATATGTATGTCTCTCTCTTTCTCTCTCTCGATGGCTATCTCTTTCTGGTTATGTCTCTCTCTCTCTCTCTTTCTCTGATTGTTGCGTGTCTCTTTCTGTATCACTACATAATTATGTAACTATATAACTATATATCGATATCGCAATCATTCCCTTTACGCGAACTCGAGTTATATAAACGCGTCGTATTGAATTACAAACATACATAAATGCGTACATAAATGCATACACACATAGGCATGCATACATACACACACATACATACATAAATCCATACATACCTACAGGTGTGTACATACGTAACCATATGACTATACAAGCACATCTACACACTCATCTCATACATGCATATACACATGTCCATGCACATATGTAAAGACATACACAAGAGCATGCGCACATCCATGTTAACAACACTAAGCAACTACACACATGTCTATACACACAGACGAGTCCACATACGCAGACGCGTACACATACACACACGTATACCGAATCACATACACGAACACATAGATATATACATATACCTGTCTGTACGTATACATATACGTGTACAGATGCACACACGCATGCGCAACCACACACGCAAGCACATAAACACGTACATATACGCTTGTATAACAATACACATGTACATCTGCACATCTACTCACACATACATATACATTATCCACATACATATTCGCATACACATCCACAAATATAACAAACACATGTGTAAACAACTTACCAAACTATACCGATGCACGCATAGTTATACATGCATTTACGCAGGTGCATTTATCTTACTAGAAGCACACACGGATACCTATACGTTTATGTATAGGCACCAACTACGTCCACGCATTCACACCACGCGCGCACACTTCTATCCACACCTTTATATGTGTATATATACACAGATGTGTATACATACGCTAAAGGACCGCGCGCGCGCTTCGCGCGCGCTTCGGTTCTAGCAAGGCCCAGTCCGTGGCCAGTTCCCCTTCGGGGAGGCGTTATCCCTCCCCCATACCCCCCCCCCCCCTTTGGCCTGGAGGGGGGGGGGGGCACGGGTGGTTGGAGCGTCTGTTTTGGCCTCAGATGGCGCCAAAACAACCCAAGATGCCTTAAGGTGACCTCCAAGATCGCTCGGGATAACCCTCGATGGCTCAATATAGCTCCTAACAAACCTGCACGAGGCTCAAAAACCGCCCCAAGACGGCCCCAAGTGGCCACGAAACTTCCTCAGAACGCCCCCGAAAAGGCCCACATCCTTCAAACACATACGGACAACCCATGTTGTTTATCTTCTCGCCCCTTCGCTTTCAATTGGCTTTTGAAGCTTCGAGATGGGTCCAATATGGCCCAAGAGAACCCCTAAAACCAGAGGCCCACAACGGGCCCATGAGCGCCCAAGGGCGGCCCCGAGAGGCGACTTCTGGGTTCCGAAAAGGGGGGGCGTAATTGACGCCGCGCTACTTTTTGAGCCGCGGCCTGCAAGATGGCCCCGAACAACCTCCCAAACCCCCCCAAAGAGCCCCAAAGGCCACGACACACCCAAAAAGAGCCTCGAGGGTGCCCCAAGAGGCACCACGAGGACCCCAGAAAAGGGTCCAGAGACCTCCTGCTCCGCCTCGTCCCCTCGCACTGCCCCCACAATAAGGCATGGCAGAAAATAAGTTTGGGGGTGGGCGGAAGAGGAGGAGATACGCGAGAGCAGGAGGAGACACGCCCGAAACTCACGACCGTCGGTGTACGTCGCAAACTGAGCTGTTTTGGGGCGGGTTGGCGGGGATACTTTTTGGTACGCGGGCGCGCGAAGACGAGTCGAACGCCGTGCAAGCTAAGGCGGGCCGCGCCGAAACAGAAGGGAAAACAGCTAAGCGAGCGGCGCCCGGCTCAGAGCGGAACGGGGCTCAACGCGGCCAACATGGCGCGGGAGGCATCGCCAATCGACATCAAAATCGCGTCAATCAAATTGCGGCACCAGGTAACGCAGGGCGTGACCACAGAGGTGCAAATTTGTGACGCAGGCACGGTGCGGGAGAGCGACCACACACACATTGGGAAGTCAGCAACTCGAGCACCCCGGGACGCACTTGCCGAAGAAGGCGTCCTTGAAGAATCCGGCAGCCACGAACTCCCAGCAACCATGCGGCAGCCAACACGGCAAGATACTACTGGGGTTCATCAACATACTCCCCAGGTAAACTTGTCGAACTCGACAGCATGAGCCCTTACGGCCATCACAGACATAAGGATGGTGAGGAGACGCGCAGCGTGAGCAATATTCGTACCTTGCCCCTCCCCCCACTTTACTCTGGCCAAATTCCACCGAGACTCCGCCGGCAATAACCGTGCTTCCACCGAGACTCCGTCGGCAATCCTTCGCGCCGACTCCGTGGCATTCAGCTTCCCCCACCCCGCCGGCCGGAGAGGGGGGGAGGCGATTTGTGAATACCTCCCTGGTGCTATTCCATTCCACCGAAACTCCGTCAGCAATCCTCCGCGCCCACTCCGTGACATTTCACTTCCCCCCAGCAGGCCCGAGAGGGGGAGGCGCGATTTGCTAACGCCCCCGGTGACATTTTCCATTCCGCCGAGAATGTGATCAAACAAACTCTCCCGCTCCCCCTCCCAAGCGGGAGATTTATCTCCCCCCCCGCCGGCCAGAGCGGGGGAGGGAGCGATTTGTAATCACCCCAGGGTGCTGTTTTTTATTCCGCCGAAGCTCCGTCGGCAGTCCTCCGCACCGACTCTGTGACGTCTAATGTCCCCCCCAAGCCAGCCCGAGAGGAGGGGGCCTCATTTCTACATGTCTAGTAGCCTAGCGTATAATGAGGAAGGCAGGCTGTGCACGAATTAACGAACCCGTGAGACTCGAAGCCAACGCCTTCGTTGCTGAAGGTGCGGTTCGGAGTAGTTCTCGGGTAGGGTGATGGGGCGTACACTTCCTTTCAAGCACAGATGCGTGTGAGCACGTATTTCCCTCCGCTGCTGCCCCCCGCCCTCGGGCTGTTTTGCCCCGCCACGGCAGGGGAGGGAGGGGTGGGGAAGCGAATGAATGGGGAGGGAAGGGATGAGGCAGCAGGGGGGGGATGAGGGACGAATGGGGAGGCAGGAATAGGAGGAAGGAGGGAGGGCGATGAGGAATAGGAGGAGGAAGGGGAGGGTGACGAGGACGGGGGAGGAGAAGGAGGAGGGAGGATACAGATCAGGATGATGAGGAGGATGACCAGGATGGGCAGAGGCGTGCGGAGGCAACCTCTGGCCTTGGCCCATATACCGCATCCTGACTCCTAGAGCCATTTAGCTGGTACTCTTTGGTTGGAGTTTGCACCTCGCTTCAGGTCTCCGACCCGCTCTATGTCCTGGCCGACCCTGCCCCCCCACCTGGCCTGTACCTGGTCTGACACTCCCACGTCTTTGACTATGTCTTCTTGGGACGCCCCCCCCCCGATCATTTTTAGCACGGAGCCGACCCCGCCTCCACCTCGTCCCCGCAGCGCCAGAGCCACGCCACTGGACTCGTACTCTGAAAACCCCCCAAGCCCCTCGACTTCCCACCCGCAGGCTGCCCCGCCTCCACCGCGCCTCCACCGCGCCCATACAGCGCCCGACATCCTCCCCACCTCCCAACCCACGCTCCCAGACTCGTTGTCTTGCGACCTCTGACCACAACCGCTCCACGCCCAGACCCTCGCCCACTTTCCACCCTGCCCCCTCCGCGCCCGAAATCTCCCACCCCCTAATCGATGCCCTTAGACAGGTCTTCTTGATGCGCCCCACTCCCGCCATTTCCTTTCCAGATCCCACCCCGCCTCTACACCACCCCCACCACGCCCGACACCCCCCACCCTTCAGCCCACGCTCCTGAAGATGAGCTCTTCCAACCCATCCAATGTCTCTTCCCCGGGGAAGCATTAACCCCTCCGACTAACCCCTCCCGGTGGTCTGGGCGGGGAGATCGCCACCAGTTAGAGCGTCCGCAGTGGCCCGAGATGGACCAAATACTGCTCCAGGAAGCTCATCATGACCTCCAAGACGGCGCAAGGCATGCGAATTGGCCGAAGTGGTCTTCAGCGCGGCTCCAGGGAGGAACCAAGAGTGGCAGTGGAGACTCCCACGGGTGCCCCTAGACTCACTCACCCCTTCAAACAATCAACTTGCTTGGCGGCGTCTCCCTTCTCGCCCTCTCACTTTCGGCGGGCCTTGGAGGTCTCCAGATGGCCTTCAGATGACCAAACGAGCCCCAAGAGTGGCCCAGAAGGGCACCAAAACGGCCCCCTGGGACCCCACGACTGCCCAAAGAAAGCTCGAAGAGGAGACTGGGAGGCGATTATGTCCAGCTCCGAAGGGGCAAACATATGACCACAAGAGACTCTTGAAAGAGACTCCCACAAATCCCGCATTGGCAATTTTGGGGGCTGCCCGAGCTGGCCCCAGCTTCGGTTTGACGGGTGACTGTCCTCACTCTCCCACTGTATGCTCGGGCTGCTCGAGCGGACCCCAGCTTCGGTTCGACGGGTGTCCGCCCTCACCCTCCCTCTATATGCTCATTCACTTCCTTGCTGACGACAACTCGCGTAGGAATCGGTTCTGGACGGGCTGGTAGGGATGCTGGACAAGTCAAGAACTGCGAATTGCACGAGCAATGCGCTCACATGGTTCCGAAAACTGCCATTCTGGAGGCGAACTCCCGACTCCCTTGAAATGCTTGGCATCTAGACAACGCACCTTCGCCGCTAGACAACACCACATGGTCGCCACGAGAGGAAGACTATGACGAAGACGACGAGCACGACGATGACATCGATGGTTCTTCTTTGCTAAAGTGCGGCCAAAGACTTGAGAAGCACAGCAATTCACATCGTCTTGAACGAGAGCGAAGGCATCGTCATGAACAAAATCCGCCACCGTGCCCACCGGCATTTAGAGGAATGGTACACTGCCATTGGCTGATTTGCAGGCTTTTTGTAGCTGTCCAACGTCCCCCTCTTCCTCCTACCAGCACAGTCTCTATCTACATCCTCGCTGTCTCCCTCTGAAGGCTCCTTGGGCGCGCAGACGACTTCTGGCGCTCTCCAAAGCCTCTCAGATGGCTTAAATGTCTTCCAAGACGGCTCAGCAAGATCACGAAGCTTCCTTGGACTGGCTGTAGGGCTGTTCTTGCGCTGTCTCGGGAGGGTCTTTGGCCCCAGTGGCGCCGTCCAGGGTTGCATTAGCGCTTCCATGATACGCAGGTCGGGGCGTGCGGGTTCGTCGGCAAGTCGCGGAACAGCATTGGAGCACTGACCGGACTTCGAATGAAATGTCGGGGGATGTGTGTGGTGGTCTTGGGATGCCGTGGCGTGTTCTTAGGCTGGCTTTGGGCTGTTTGAAAAAGTGTGACCCGCAGAAATAGTATAAATCCCTAGCCCTTCCCCTGATGAGCTCACAGATGCACGAGTGCATGCACACACACATAGCACGCATAGGAACTGATTAAGTAACACGATCGCGGACCGAGCAGAGACGCACTACTGACACGGATACACACTGACGCATTAAATTCGAAACCATGCAAACCACTGCAAGGATTGAACAACATGCAATGCGTCGGAAAGGCAGCGCGATTCAACGCAGTACCGTGGAAATGATACGCAATGGCCGTGCAACGCTTTGCAACTCAACGCAAACCATTGCAAGGAGACGTGGAACTTAAATAAAATGCAAAGCAACGGTTTGCACATCCAAAAAATGGAGCAGTTGGGAGGTCGGTACGTGCGATCGTTCAACCGTCGTATGCCACATCTTGGGGTCTTCTCTAGACGCTCATTGCCAGGGGGTTGAGTGGCGTCGGCCGTATGGGAATTCCCTTGGGGCCCTGTCGTAGCTGAGTCGAGGCTGTCTTGGGGAGTGTGACGGTTCATTTCGGGCCCCAGGAAGTCTGTTTCCAGGGAAGGTGTGGAGACCTCCAGGGGCCCATGCATCGATTTGTGCACACCGTGCGACAAGTATGCGGCTTGGTCTGCAAGCCTGAGGACGGCACGGTGGCCAGCGTCGCCCTCTCTTGGAAAACAAATTTGGCTTCCGCGGACTTAGAGCTTCCGCCAGCTTCCGCCGGCCACATCGCCCTCGATGTACACCTGCCAACTTCCACGGGCCTTCGGCCAGCCTCCGTCGAGGGCGAGAAGACGACTCTTAATCCCTCGAAAACGAAGCCCTCTTCGAAATATGCTACATGTGCTTATCTTATGCGCGGAGCAAGGGCCTTGGGCACCGAGAAACCACATGGAGCGCGATACTGGCTTGTTGGCATCCGGCCCACCCGCCACCGTGCTTCGGTTGTGCGTCCTGTTGGGGTCTTCTGGGGAGCCTCTGGGGAGCCTCTTAGAGGCAGTTTTGAAGCATACTGGGGGTTGTTTGCGGGCCCTTTTTGGGCCTCTTGGGGACTGCTGGCGGTCTTAGGGGTCCCCATGGGGCGGGTGGCTGGAAATCACATTTCGAGTTCCCCCTCCTGGGCCCTGCCAATGGCGACGCGAGGCACCGGGCAGGGCCCCCCCCCGCACCTGTATCTCGGCGTGTGTATCTACACCTATGTGTATATATATATATATATATATATATATATATAAGCAATACCTGGCGCACGGACGCCTCTGGCACCCAGTGGTGGAATCGTAAATCTTCTGCACACGCAAGGGGGTGGGCCGTCCCGCCGCCTCAACACCCCAAGGCCCCCCCCCCTCTCGGGCACTCATCGCGTCCGCACCGCAAATGAAGGGTCCCCCACCTCTGGCACTCGCCGCCTCAGCGTCCCAAAGGCCTCAAGGGCCCCCCGTTGTCTGGCACTCGCCGCCACAGCGTCCCAATGGCGGCCCCCGTCGGGGCACTTTTACCCTTCCCATCAAATCGGAACCCAGGGGGTGAGAAACAATGTTCTTTCCTAGCCTCGCCACATGACAACACAGGCGGGCGGGACATGAATACGGGTCCACTCGACTCGCTGCTCAGCATCGCAGGTGGGAAAACACATACAAGCCTACTCTGCTCGCCACGCTGCACCGCAGGAGGCGGAACACACAACAATCCGACCGTGCTCACCACATGGCCAACTGATGCTAATACGCTACGCTTATGTCCACACGGCAACGCCACGCGGGGCGCAACCATCATGTGTTGCTCTGCTCGCCACGTGGCAACTCCTGGGTGGAAAGCTGACTCCGCTCTGCTTTGCTGTCCACAGGGCACCACGGGGGGTCAAAAACATAGAGGTGCACCCTACGTTGAAGGGGCCCCAGGACACACAAATAAATACACACAAATAAAAATATTCCCCATATTTTCTTATATTTGTGTTGGTTTTTGTCTTCCCCCCACTTCCCATATTTTTGCATATTTTCCTTGGAGTCGACGATTAATTGTGTCTGTGTGTTTCTTTCCCTCCTGATACGTGCCCCTACCCCCCTTCCCTGGAGTGAGCCCTCCCGGCGGCCCCACGCGATCTCCTCCTGCCGCCGCCGCACCTCCTGCAGGTTCTGCTGCAGCATGCCAACCTCCATGTCCCCTTGCGCTTTGGTCGCCTCCGGGCCGCGGCACGAGGCTGGAAAGGTTCGCCGCTGCCTCGTTCACCTAACTTCGCGCATCGCGCCCTGAGGTGCACGACGCGCGGTTGACTTCGCGCCCTCGCGCAACCGCCCTGGAGAAGGATGCCTCTCCAACATTCTCCGACCCAAGCCGCGATGCGCGAAGCGCAGTCATCCTCGCGCCCCCTCGGACGACCTGGACATCCCTCACGACGCCCTCCCTCTCCCCGCGGAGGACTTCAACTGACTGGAAACGGAGCACCTCCACCTCATCCTTCTCCTCCTCGTCCTCCCCATCCTCCTCATCATCATCCATCCCTCCTCCTCCTCCTCCTCCTTCTCATGCCTCTCCCGCCTCCCTATGTCCCTAATTATGTTGTTGTCGGAGCCCCTGCACCGCGCAAGAGAACCTGCGCGAAAATGGTCAGCCCAGCGCGCAAAGAAGGATGCGACCGACAGAAGAGCGACACACTTCCCCCCGTCTGCCCTGGGCCAAGCAGCAACGGATGCCCGGTGGAGCGGAGAGGCAGGAGCTTCGCCCGGACGAAGTGGTTGTGGAGGGACGGCACTGGGGACCGGCGCAGGGGAGGAAGGCATAGATCGCCAACAGATCGTCAAGAGGCCTCCGATAACGATTCCGCACGCTCCTGGGTGCCCAGACATCCGACGTCTCGATTTTTTCGAGACGCGGGCCCTCGACCTCCCGACCACTTCCCTGGGACCGGTTCTTCATCCTGAGTCGTTTTTTGACGGTCCCGAGGCCCGGCGATGGCCCCGAGAGGCCAAAAACTATGAAAAACCTCTGCCTCGATTTTTTCGAGACGCCCGATGTCTGGGTGGGGTGGGTCATCGGGCCCCTGTCGGCGATCCACGGGCGATTGGGATGCGCTGCGTCCCTCCCTGAGCCGAACCCCCGCGAACGCTGCCCCCGAGGAGGGGCACGGACTCCACCCGGGCGGCATCAGCACCCCCCCCTGGCGACCCTCCACCGGCGACCTGACCATCCACCGGCGACCATCCACCGGCGACCTGACCATCCACCTGCCCCGATGGTCCGCTACCGAAAATTTCCGGTAGCGCTCCGCAGAGATCGGTCGCTACCGAAATACCGAAATGTAGCGCCCAATACCGGTATCAGACCGTTCTGAAATCCGCTATTTCAACGCCCTCAAACGAAGATCCGGTCGCTACCGAAATGCGGGGTGCGTCGAAATTGCTACCGAAAATTTCCGGTACCAGACCATCAGGGTCCACCTGACCATCCACCGGCGACCTGACCATCCACCGGGCGGAATCTGAGTATCGTTTAACCGATCCCCATCCCCAGCGGCGTGGCCTGGGTCCCACTGGCCGATTTGCCCCCCCAGATGGGGATATAGACCGTTCCCTTCGGGTTTCGACGGGTGTATCCCCAACTGGGGTGGTAATTTGGTGGGGGCCTCGAAGGGGATGAGGATGGGGATGGGGATCGTTTAAAGGATACTGAGAATCAGCACCCCCCACCCGGCGACCATCCACCGGCGACCATCCACGGCGGAATCAGCCCATCCACCGGCGACCTGACGGGATAGCCCACCGGTGCCTCGAGCCGCGTGCGAGCCGTGGCCGGGCGCCCATATCCCCCCATCCTTCGGCAACGGGATGCCGAGAAGCGCAGATGACGATGACGATGACGTCATGACGGTGACGGAGAGGTCATGACGATGGCGATAACGTGAGTCATGACAGTGACGACGTGGCAAAAAGCGCGAACGCCCAGATGGCGATGATGATGACGACCCCTCTGCACTCAGAAGTGGCCCTGGGCAAGAGTGACACTTGACGCGCGGACAACGAGGGCGCAAATTGGCCAAATACAAGTGCGCAAGCAGCCGCTAACGCATCGCGCTGAGCGCTCGGGGGGACCCCGATGCGCCCGAACCAAAGGTCACTCCGGCTGAAGGCTTCGGACTTCGTCGCCGACTGGTGCTGCGCGCCGCCCGCAAAAGGCGCACGTCCAAACCGAACGCAAAGCACGGACATTTTCCGGAACGTCGCTGCCGAGGCGGCATCGCCGGAAAGCGCTCGGCACCGAACACAGACCATAGGAGAGGAGAAGTCTGGGCGCACGCGCCGCACCTGGGGGGTGGGCCGACGCACACACAAAATTTCAGCACACTTGGGTGATGCTGGCTTACCTGCTCTGTCTTGGACTGGTCCAGGGCGGAGCATTGGGTGCATCTGGAGGCCTCCCGGATGGGGCCCGAGCATGTGGGGTCGGGGGAAGGCGCCCGTTCTGGGCACTGGAGACCCCCAGTGGGGTCTTCAAGGGCCCCTATTCTACAGCCCTCGCTGCCACCCCCCATTCATCGGGGAGAGGTAAGACTCGGGTACGGGGGACTCGGGATGGCCTGACGGCGCCATCATAAAGATGACGAGACCCAATCTGAAATTTGACGCGAACACCCGCTGCAAACATCCCACGAAAACTGGACCGTCAAAAACCCAGAGCGCGCTCGTCAAAAAAACATCGGCAAACCCGAATTACGGCTTACTCGAGTCTTACGCTTCCCCGAGCGATGATGGCGCGAGGAACACGACGATGGTGCGACGCTTTCGGCGGCCGCGGCGCACTTGCATGCTGCGGGCCGCTGCTCGATAAGCGGTGGACCCGGACAAGCGATGGGCCAGGAGACGGAGGAAAGCTGAGGGGATTTTTGCAGTCCCAAAACGGTGCGGTGACAGACCGTGCTGTGACCTCGAACTCCCCCAGGACCTCACCGCACGGACAGCCACCGCACGGCCCTGGGACCCCGGAGGCCCCCGTCGCCCGAGACATCCTCGGAGAACGACCCGAGCCCCAAAGCCGTGCGGTGACCCCGAATCCCCAACGACTCACCGCACGGTGTGGTCACCACCCCGTTGAGGGACCCCCGAGGATTCCGCGAAGCGGGGGAGACGGAACGGAGGAGGAGGAGGAGGAGGAGGAGGAGGAGGAGGAGGAAGAGGAGGAGGAGGAGGAAGAGG